TTTAGTCATTTATCTGATAGTAATTAAGCACTTACTGCTTTAAACCAGACACTGTGGGGCTGCACTGCAAACAAAAATACCTTCCAGGAATTCAGTCAAATGAGTAAAGTTGACATATAGAAATACAACTACATGTTGATATTAAACTGCTATGGAGAGGCAGGTATTAGGATGAGTCCCAGCAGCATGTCAGCCACCCCAGCCCTATAGCTGAATTAGGATAAGCAGAAGGGTTTTTTGTTGTTTGTTTGCTTTGTTTTTGTCCTTTTGGTTTTTGAGGCATGATTTCTCTGTATAGCTGTGGCTGTCCTGGAACTCACTCTATAGACCAGCTTGGCCTCAAACTCATCTGCCTACCTCTGCTAGGATTAAAGATGTGTGCCACCACTGTCTGGAACAGAGGTTCTTTCAGATGGAGAAAATAACAAATATGAAGACAAAGAGAAAAAGAAAGTATGAGGTATTTGGGCAGCAGAAGTGGTTAGATGGGAGCCAAGAGCTGGGCTGTCTCAAATCCTTCACCAAAACCTTCCTGTGGCTGCCTCCTTCCTTTTCCCATCTCAGCACACTGCTTCAGAGAAGCCTTTACGGAGCACCCAGGGGATAACTACACAGTCGCTTGCTTATATGCCAGCCTAGGAAATTATTTATGGAATGCTCCTTCTTAGCTGTCACATTTTTAACTTCTCAACTTTGGGCTACAGTTTCATGAGACTGGTCCTTAAGGAAACTGCCCTGTATTTTTGCAAATGAACTGGAGAGCAAGGAGAATGAGTCTTTCCTTTTTCTTTATTCCTTGCCTAAATTGGAGTTGACAACTCTCAGGGTAGGAATATAATATAGGGTCAGAGAGGCATTTGAGCGTACTGTTGGTATTTTATTCCCTGTACCATGCTTTCATTTACAGTGTTTGACTTAATGAGATTTTAGTATACTGTAGCATTGAAATATTAGTATTAATGTTTTATCAAAGTTATTTCCCTTTAAGTAAGTGATCATTGGTTTGTTTTCACAGTTAAAAAAAAATCACCCCAAACATTAACCAAACATGTTAATTTTGTGTTTGAGGTTTACTTTTCCAGTTTTATATATCAGTAAGAAAATTTACTATAATTTTCAGTAAGCTTGTAGAATTATTTGTGAATTAAATATATAAATATATCCAAATTTTTTCTTTAAGTTTTGTTTTGAGACCTTGACTGCGTGGAACTTGCTATGTAGACCACATTGGGCTCACACTCAGAAGATGTGTGGCATCACACCCAGCTCTAAAAAAATATTTTAAACTATGAGGCAAGGATATATGCAGGCATATGTGCATGTCAGCAGAGGCCAGAGACATCAGATTCTCTGGAGCTGGAGTTACAGGCAGTTGTGAGCCACCTGATGTTGCATGCTGGGGACCAAAGGCAGCCGTTTTCAACAGCAATATACACTAATCACTGAACCATCTCTCCAGCCCCCTAACAGATAATTAGAAGGCAGCTTGCTCTGTGCACATCTGAGAGTTTATAAAAGTGAGGAAAGTGTGGGAAGCCAAATTTATGAAACAGGGAATGCTCATAGTCTGGAAATAGGAGGAGGATAACATCTGGCAAGGGCAAGACTAGAGCTTGGAAGGGTTTTAAGTCTTGGCACTGTTAGTGTTTTTTTTTTTTTTTTTTTTAACTACATGTGCTGTGTTAAGATGCTTGTATGCTTGGCTTAGTTCAACTTCAACTTGGTCTATTTTATTCCTATGTGAAGGTGTTTCTAATGTTTTTTTTATTGAAACAGGAGATCACAGCAAAAGTTTCCTATAAACTTTACATTTTTTACAAGCTCTAAATACTTTAGATCCTGTTCTTTGTTTGTTTTATCAGACAAAGTGCCTTTATCACTTTGTCAAAAAAGTACTAATGTGTGAGGTCTAGTTTTATTGTTAGATTTTGAGACAGAAGCAAAAAACTAAAAGATAAAAAGAAAAACATTAAAAATAGGGGCTGCAGAATACTATTTTGTGTTTGGAGTTTTGGGTGGGGGCCTCTGGAGGAGGGATGGCCAGAGGTTGTCATTTGTGTCTTCTTCAATTACTCTCCGTTGTTTTGTTTTCTTTTTCTTTTTTTGTGTATATGGGTGTTTTATGTACATATATGTGTACCATAGGCATGTCTTGAGCCTACATGAGGCCAGAAGAAGGTGTTGAATTTCCCGAAACTGGTTGTGATCCACCATGTAGGTGCTGAATTGAACCTAAGTGTTCAGGAAAAGCAGTGAGTGCTCTTAACTGCTGAGCTTTCTTTCCAGCCCCTGGAGTCACTCCTCATGCTTTCCCTCTCTCTCTTTCTCCTTTCTCTGTTTCTCTTCCTTTCTTCTCCCATCCCACTTCCCTCTTTTTTTTCTCTCTGTCTTTTTAAGGTTTAATTTAATAGCTTTATACTCTATTGCTATACAGAGAGAAAAGAAGCCTGATTTTTAAAGAGTTAATAAGCAATCCTCATAAAAGTTAATGAGAAAATTGGACAAGTTGCCTTGCAAGATGAGGGTTACCCTTCAAAGGAGCTGACTAATAGTGACCTAATTAAATTCTAATTACCTTTAGAAGTATGAAAGGTATTTTCATTCATTTAACCATTATTTCAATAAATACTAAGTACTTTTATCCTATTATATATTTTATCATTATTTTAAAGTTTCATTTACATTAAATTTTTAATTTAGGGAATGTCTTAACTTTTTGAGCAGCATCTCCAAGTGTTCATATTTAGATGTGCCCTGGCTTTTTTGAAGTGGATGGAGTCATGCAGTATTAGCATCTCTGTGAACCACCCTTCTACTTTATACCAAGAGGAAATTACTAGTAGTTCTTATCTTATGTTTAATTTAAAAACTAGTAATATGTTAGGGGGAAGTGTTTCAGTAAAAGCTGCTTTGTTTAGGATTATAGCCCCTACAGTATCAGTTATATGTTTGTGCTACTAGAGAGTGAACCCAGAGGTCACACATAATAATCAAACTTTCTGCCGTTGAAACTACAGGCTCAACACAAATAGATGAGATCTTTTTCTTGTTCGGCTACTTGATACTTTCTTCCTGTTGTTCTTAAACCTTTTATAGTATACTTCAATTTCACTGTGTTTATCGATTGTTGCTCTAATTTTATCCAGCATCAACACTTCGAATGTATTAATTTTTGTTTAGTTACTAATGTCTGCTAAGTGCCTGCAAGTTTGTTTGGACATACTTGTTAAGTGAACCAGTTTCCTTTGTCTGTAAGTAGTGTTGATAAATTTCTGTGGGGGATAAATACTTAGCGAGCTAACTGTTCAGAGCTTATAGATGTGTACGTTTTTGGAAGTGTAGCAAATGTGAAACTTAAAAATTTTGTGGGGGGAAGAAGACATACATTATAAAACATTAAAAATATTGGGTTAGAGAGATGGCTTAAGGGTTAAGAGCACTGGCTGCTCTTCCAGAGGACCTGGGTTCAATTCCAAGCACCCACATGGTAGCTCACAACTTTCTGTAACCCTAGTCCCAGTGGATCTGAAAGCCTCTTCTAGCCTCCTTGGACACCAGGTACACACATGATATGCTGACATACTTGCAGGCAAAACACCCATACACATAAATATATATTTTAAAATATTTAAATATATTTTAAAAGTTCACTGTTGAGCTGGCATGTAAGCAAAGAGACTTTTCAGAACGTCCTGGGGAGGAAACCATGACTCCAGAGAAGTAAGCCTGGCAGTCACACTTACTGTTCTGCTGATGTTCTTTAGGGCCAGAGAAACCTGGAGCTTTGCCTTTTACAGAGTATCCATAGAGGGCTGGCCAGTCCAGGGATTGAGTAAGGTGAGAATATCCAGGAACCTTTGTGTAACGCTGAAATTCCCTAAAAAGGATCAGAGAGTAAACTAGGATGAAATAGCAAACCAGTTTTAGGGTACATGGATTTCCTGAAAGTGAAGGGTGGGCAGAGGAGTGTCTTAAGTTATTTTTCCTGGTCCTGAAACAATAAAACTGACAGAATGAACTTGGGGGGGGGGGGGTATTTGACTCACAGTTCAATGTGTAATAGTGGAGAAGGCATGGCAGAAGAATCATGTGGCTTAGTTCCTTAGTAATGGTTGGCCAGAAAACAAAGCACTTGGACAGGTACTAGAAGCAGATATAACTTCAAGGCCTGCCCTAGTTTCCTACTCTGCTAGTGAGGCCACAAATCCCAGGTTCCATATTTGTCTAAAGCTGGAGACCAAGTGTTCAAATGCAGGAGCTAGTGGGGAACATTTACTATTGCAGGTTGTTTGTCTTATCTTGTGTTCCCTGGGAAGGTGAAATAGTTTCCTTGAGAAATTATTGCTATATAGGTCCATTCCAGCTGGATTTGGAGTCAGAGTTCATACTGTGTGAATGGTTTAAAAAAAACAAACAAAACAAAGCCTAAGACAGGAACTTAGTGAAAAGTGGTCCCAAGATTTGGTCTTATGGTCTCAGGTTTTGGTCTTAGGACTAAGAACCAATCAAGCCAAACCCTTTGTTCATTTCCTTTCCCATTTCCCCTCTCTCATTTCCTTTTTTTCTTCTCCCAGGCTCCCCTTTTCTTCTTTCCTTAACAGAGTTAGTGTGTCTGAGGCTGGCCTTGAACTCAGTAAATAGCGAAGGCTGACATTGAAGACCTGATCCAACCAAGAACTCCACAGTTAATAAATATGCTATGTCAGATATGGCCCATAAACTAAATGTATATTTTTAAAGACTTGTTTATATTGGGGTGTGTGTGTGTGTGTGTGTGTGTGTGTGTGGTGTGTGTGTGTGTGTGTGTTGGTTTGAATAAGAGTGGCCCCCATGGCTCATAAGCTTGAATACTTGGTTTCCAGTTAGTAGAGATGTTCGGGAGTGATTAGGAAGTGTGGCCTTGATGAAGGAAGTGTGTCACGGGCTTGAGGTTTCAAAAGCGCATGCCATTTCCAGTTAGCTCTCTCTGCCTCTCCTTCTATCTCCTACTTGCAGATACTGATGTAGATACAGCTACTATACCAGCACTATGCCTGGCTGACTGGTGATACTTTTCTACCATGATGATGATAGACTAACCTTCTAAAACTGTAAGTGAGCCCCAGTTAAATGCTTCCTTTGGAGGTTGTCTTGCTCATTGTGCTGGCTAGTTTTATGTCAACTTGACATAAGGTATAGTCATCAGAGAGGAGGGAACCTTAATTGAGAAAATGCCTCCATAGGATCAGTTTGTCAAAATTAGATAAGCTGCATTCAGTAAGGTGTAAACAAATACTTACATTAAAAAAAATTCTTAGCAGCAAAGTTTGGTTCTAAATTTTAAAAGTCTTCTATTGTAATTATCCATACAAACAGCTTGCTAACTTGCTTGCTCATTCATTCATTCATGTATTTTGAGACAGGGATTCTCTTTGTAGCCTTGGCTGTCCTGGACTCCCTTTGTAGACCAGGCTGGCCTCAAACTCACAGAGATCTGCCTCCCTCTGCTTCCCCAAGTGCTGGGATTGCAGGTTGCGCCATCACGCCTGGCTTATACAAGCACTTATTTCCCTTGCTTTTGGTACCTGGATTGAACCCACGACCTTAAATTAGGCAGTGCTTTGTCATTCAGCTATGTCCCCATCACATGAGCAATTTAAGAAAAAAAGCCAATGCCTTTAAGATACAGAAAATTAGTTTATTAAATATTTTATGGTAAAAACCTATTATAAACTTAGGGTAGAAAGGATATTATTTGACTATCAAAGATATTATTTTAGTTACTTTTCTACTGTTGTGACAAAGTACCAAGATCAATGCAACTTATGGAAGAAGGAGTTTATTGGGAGTTTACAGTTTCAGAGGGTGAATCTGTGACCATCATGTCAGGGAACATGGCAGCAGGCAGTCATGCTGCTGGTGCAGTAGCTGAGAATTTACATCCTTATCTGAAAGTATGAGGTGAGGGAGGGAGCAGAGAGAACTAAAGCCCACCCACCAGTGATACACATCCTCCAACAAGGCGGTCCCTCCTAGCCCTTCCTAAATAGTTCTACCAACTTCTGACCAACTTTCAAATACATGAGCCTTTGGGAGCCATTTTCCTTCAGTCCACTACAGCCGCTATGAAAGGCCTACAGCAAGTATTACACTTGATAGCAAGACATTCGTAACATTCACTTACACGTCAGCAGCAGAAAGCAACTATCACTGTCCTTCATCGCTAGCACTGCATTATGTCTCTCCTGAAGACCTTGGACAATAGAAGCCACCAGGCTAAAAGAAATAATGATCATCTTTTAGAGTCAATGTGAATGTTTTCATAAAACATTCAAGAGTCTACAGAGAATTTTTCAGCTTTGTAATAACTTACTACCTTGCTTTATATAACATTACTACAGCAAAGTCAGTTTTGTTGCTCTAAACTAGCAACATATAATAAAAAATTTAGTAATGTCTCAGAAGAGTTAAAAATCCACCCAGTTAAGTATTTAAAAGGGAATATGTGCCTTTAGGATTGTGTTAAGTCAGCTTTCCATTTATCTTAAGATAAATTGACTTTTAAGAGAGGAAAGACTTTCTTTGGCTTGTGATACTAGAGGTCTTAGGCCAGAGTTGATTGTCCCTATTGATTGGGGCATGCAGAAGTATAGTTGGGAGCATGTGATTCAGGAATCTGTTCTACCTCATATCAGCCGGGAAGTAAAAAGAGAAATATGAAGGGCGTTAGTGCCAATATTATCCCCTTCAAAGGCATCCGTCCCTCTGTGACCTAGTGCCTTCAACCAGTTCCTCATCTTAGAAATTTTCCACCACTTCCAAGTAGCAGACTGGCTTGTAGTCAAGATTTAAAGTGTAGGCCATTATGGGAATATTTAAGATCGAAATAACTTAAATATATTGCAGGGCAATATCTTTAAGTAGAAAAGTTATAAAGGTAAACCAAAGACATCACAGCAGACCTAAAATCATTTGGGGATATAGTCATAGAGGGAAACAAAAACACCAATTTTTTTGTGAAAGTATCAGTTAAACTGCCATTAGCATTATAAATTTACTGGTATTTTTTTGAAAAAGATGTAGGCTGTCTTTTGATTTGTTCACTTGTGTGGAAGTAACAAGTTAATTCTAAATCTGGAAACAGAAGGTCAAGAATCGCCAAGATATTTCAGAAGCAAATGCTCATTGTAAGAGCATTTAAGACTTAGTGTACGTGGAGGGCATGAAAACAAACCTTCGGGGAATGCCTCGTGGTGTGTGTGACAACGAAGGCTCTTCATGGGTGCCATCTCATAGTTGCATAGTCTGCCCGATTGATGGCCCTATTCTGGGGAATGTCGGGCGCACTGAGGTCGCTCTCCCGAGAGCCGAGATGTGTGTGGGCTGTGGGGTCCACTTGCACTCACCTCTCAGCCTTGTCTGTATTTCTAAATGTTTTTCATCCAACTTTGGTAATTATCCAAAGAAACCTATGAGTTCATACCTTTGGTTTTCTACGGAACAGCAACCCAGGTTTAAAGCTAAACACCTAGATGCAAAACTTTCAAAATTGGTTAGAAAACTTGCAGCCCTGTGGAGGGAACTACCAGAAGAAGAAGAGCATATGAAGCATTTTTTTAAGGCAGAGTGGAAAGTGTACAAAGAGGCTGTGAGCAGGGTTAAAGAACAGCTATCACCAAGTCAGTTGATGTCAGAAGGAAGTCAAGAAAAGACATTTCAAAAAGAAAGCATTAATAAAAACAAGAGAATTAATTTTGCTTGGAAAACCAAAAAGACCTCGATCAACATACAACATTTATGTATCTGAAAGCTTCCCAGAGGCTACGGATCAGCTTAGGGAAAAATGAAGAGTATAAATCAGGCTTAGAAAAATCTGTCTAGTCCCCTCCAGGAGCTCCACAAGGAGAGCAACAGAACCAAAAAATCTGGGCCCATGGGTCTTTTCTGAGACTGATACTCCAACCAAGGACCATGCATGGGGATAACCTAGAACCCTTTCACAGATATAGCCCTTGGTAGTTCAGTGTCCAAGTGAGTACCCTAGTAAGGGGAACAGGGGCTGTCTCTGACATGAACTCAGTGGCTGGCTCTTTGTCTACCTCCCCTGAGAGGGGAGAAGCCTTACCAGCTATAGAAGAAGACAATGCAGACAGTCCTGATGAGACCTGATAGGCTAGGGTCAGATAAAAGGGGAGGAGGACCTTCCCATCAGTAGACTGGGGAAGGGGCATGGGAGAAGAGGGAGGGAGGGTGGGACTGGGAGGGGCTAAAGGAGGGATCTCCATACAGCTGGAATACAAAGTGAATAAATTGTAATAAATTTAAAAAAATAAAAAAGAAAAATCTGTCCAGTGACAAAAAGCAGCCATATTTTCAGCTTGCTAAAGATGATAGAATTTGTTATGACAATAAGATGAACTCCTGGGAAGAGCAAATGGCTGAAGTTGGACGAAATGATCTCATCTGTCGAAGTGTGAAACGATCAGGAGACATCACTGAGAATTAAGATTGAAGATGGAGTTTTCTTTGTGATTAGGCACAAGAAACTGGCTAGGTCTTAATGCCTTAAGTTCTCAAATTAGAAAGGATAAAGGAGGTTAACATTTGATAGTCAGTTCCTTATTTTGTATCCCATGGACTTCTGCCTGTTGAACACATTTCTGTTAGTATTTCGAATCCTGACAGTGGAAGATCATGCCGCACTCTCCCTTTTTTGTAAGAACTGTCATTGAGATTGTCCATGCATTTACATGTAGGGTCAGAGGGCCTGTGTCCTCCAGTGCAGTCAGTCTCTTCTAAACACTTCCACAAACCCAGCTAATGAGTTTTGATTTTTGACTTAGCAGCCACCTTAACCTGTAAGGCAGGTCAGGGAGGGGATAAAATTGCCACTTGTAGTTACATAGCAGTTTGGTTCTGATAAAAGAATGGGAGTAGATATCATGAAGTAGATGGTTCACCAAAAATTAGATCCCTCATATATTAAAAAAAAACAACAACAACAATATTTTTGAAGCCCTTCTTTCCCTTCCTGAAACTAGCCACTAATATGCATTTGTTACATCAGTCTATATTTTTAATATACTTTTCGACCTGTAAGAAATGTATCTTGCTTTAACTTGTTGAAGTTAACTAAATGGAACAAGCTGTACCTGTACTTAAAATGGTGCCTCTCATTTCTTGTACTCATATTGACACATAGTTTTTGTTTACTCATTTTATCTGCTGTATAGTATTCTGTTGTACAGGTCATTTATTTTCCTTTAAAGATAGTTCTATTTAGTGTGTGTGTGTACATATGTGTGTATGTGTGTGTTTACATGCCTTTGGAGTCTGGAAGGAGGAGTCCAGATCTTTTGGAGCTGTAATTACAGGAGTTGGAACCAAACTCTAGTCTTCTGGAAGAGCAAGCATTCTTAACTGCTGAGGCATCTATCTTTCCAGCCCCTCTATTTTCCTCTTGATGAGCCTTTAGGCTGTCACTCTTTTGTTGGCTATTAGAGACAATATGCAATCCTGTCTCCTTATGGTCCTGTTTAAAAAAAAAAAATCTTCAGATTATGAAGCTGGAGTTGGATTATGAAGTAATGTGGTATGGTGGTGCTAAAGCTTTAATAGATATTGCCAATTCCTTTCTTCATTTGGCATCATTTTCCTCCTGCTTACAGTATTCATTCTTTCTTATTCTGTTGGTGCTAGGGTTTTAGCCCAGGGCCTTCCCATCATATATGACTGCTTACTACACAGTTAAGTTTCCAACTCTTCTTGCCTGCCTTGATTTGGAGAAGTCTTTAATGCAGTTTAATACTAAAGTTTATTAATTGTTTCTTGAAATTTTCTCCCAGTCCTTGACTAATAAGGTCTTTGGTTGAATTTAAAAAGTAGTTAAAGGAAGTATCCACTCTGTGTATGTGTGTGTGTGTGCCTTGTACAGACCCTCTTTCAGAGGTTGCCATTTCTGTAGTTTCTTTTTGTGGGTTGCAGACAACTGTTCTTGTTTCATCCAGAGATCATAACTACTGATATCAGATTAGTTTAGCATAACTTTGCACCTTGGTGTGTACACATCTATGTGCTTTTATTAACAGGACCTCGTGGAGTCTTTATGCTTTTGATTTATGTCTCATGAAGGCCACATACCACGCACCTGCACCTTTTTAAACTTCACACCTTACCTTTGAATGTACTGTTTTGTTTTGTTTTTTTAATCTTAATATTGATAACATATATTTGGCTTAATTTCTGCCATTTCATCATATGCTTTCTGTATTGGCGGATTTTCTGTGATTTTTAAAATAAATCCCATTCCTAATTTTTGTTTAAATTAATGTTCTTTTTTTTTAACCTTTTCAACTTTGGTTCCCTACCCCTTCCTTTCTTTTTAAGTTTGTAAAGCTATTTGTTGAATACTCCCTCTAACTCTGGATCACACTCCTGTTGTTTTAAACAAAATCTCAATTTCATTTTACCAGTGAAGACTTGTGAGCCAGATGCTGGGGTGAAAGCCTGTCAGCTCAAATAGATACTTTTGTTTTGATTCAGAGTATCTAGAAGTAGAAAGATACTATTTCTCTTATCATCATCTTTTTCCCTAAAGAGAGAACTTTCTCCAAATGCTTTCTAACACGTTTCCCAATAGGTCCCATTGATCATGATTTAGTTTTGTTCTTTGGCAAGATAAATGCAAGTGGCTGTGGTTGGTCTGGGCCAGTCAGGAATAGGTGGCCTAGTAGAGAATTGTCACTAAAATGGCGTTGGCATTTGATGTGGTGAAAATGTCTGGATGTGAAATAAGGAGTAAACAGTATCTACTGCAGATGGCTGTCTTCCTGTCTTTGACCTTCTTGTCTGAAAAGTTGATGCCATCATTATCTAAGAGGAAAAAGGAGAATTTATACTATTTTCACTGAGTTTTCGGATAGTAACATTTTATCAACTCACTTGTTCTTAAAATAGAAGTTAACTGGCATGCCTGTGCTCCAGGTGCTATACTTAGTTTTGAGGAAGTAGCTGAATAATTGATGGGCCTTATATTCAAGTGGGCAGCTGGCCTGCAGTGTGGTGTATGGAATCGTGGAGGTAAGGGAGGAGGAAAGAGTTACTCTGAAATACACTGATTTTAGAAAATTTATTTTTCAACAGATGATGTGAGACATGTGGATTTGTGATATGAATTCATTTGAAAAGCTACTTTGGGGTAAGTTGATAATAACCGGGAATCAATGATTTCATGGTTATACTTCTCCATGGATTTTAAAACTTAAATCTGTTGGACTTTATGTCTTATATTCATTTATTAGAATTAATATGTTTTGTTTGTTTGTTTTGTTTTTTTGAGACAGAGCCTGACTGTCCTGGACTACCTTTGTAGACTAGGCTGGCCTTGACCTCCCTGAGTGCTAGGATTAAAGGCATGTGCCACCATGCCCAGCTTGTTTTAGGTTTTTTAGACAGAATTTCATTATGTAGTCCTGTCTAGCCTCAAATTTACAGAGATCCACCTGCCTCTGTTCCCAGCTCACCCTCAGGCTGGTATTAAAGGCATGTGTCACCATGCTTAGCACTAGAAAGGTTTTGTACTAAGTTCTTACTTCATTAAAATTTGAGAAACATGGCAATAAAGTATAGTCTTAGTACTACTTCATTAGTACATTGTATTCACTTCTCATTAGCAAGTCAGTCTGAAGACTTAAGTGAAGACCAGGTTCAGAAAATAAGTCTTTAGCTAGAACTACCCATAATCTTCTTATGCCACTGGGAAATCATTTACAGAACCAGTGTTGAAGATACTGGAGTAAAGTTTGCCTTTGAGCTTCTTATTGCTGTATTCCAGATGGTCATTTTCAGTGCATCCATACATAGGAAAAAGAATCTTGATTGCTTCATTGCTTTAGAAATAGTGCTTACTACTTACTGAGTGTGTTATTATTTTGGGAACTGGAAGATGGGTATGTTTTCCTTTTAAGGAAACAGAGGCCCTGAAGGACAGTGGGGTGTGCTTAGTTTCTCCAGCAGTTGTGACAACACATGAAATAGTGCCTGCAGGAGCCAGAAACTCAGGCCCAGGATTTTTTACTGGATATTGGTACCTTGTATCTAGCACATACCAAATTTCAGAGACACAGAAGATGCTTAACATAAACCAGATTGTTTGTACAGTTAAGGCAAGGTAGGGCACACTTGTTATTTAGAGAAAGTTTTATATCACCGTGAACGACTTTATCATTCAAGTTTCTTGATTTGAGCTTAGGGGCAACCTTGCATACCTCACCATTGTACATTTATACATTGATTTGTTCATTTGGAAAAATTATAATTACCTTCTGACAAAGAAATAGGTGCTATGGCAAGCTTTTTTTGTTTTTGTTTTTGTTTTTTAAATAGTTTCAGGGTTTCTCTGAGTAGCCTTGACTGTCCTGGAACTTGTTGTGTAGAGTAAACTATCATTGAACTTAGATATCTGCCTGCCTCTGCCTCCAGAGTGTTGGGATTAATGATGTGCGCTACCACCACCTGGTTTAGGCAAATTTTTAATGTCAGATGTTTTGAATGGTCTCAGTTGCTACTGATTTGTTAAAAAAAAAAAAAAAAAAAACCTCACATGACCTCATGACATATCTATCACAGCAAAAGATGGAGCTGCAGATAGAATGATGCTGGGTGTGGTGTCCTACTCTTGTAATTTTAGTACTCAGGTAGGTACAGGAAAAGACCTGTCTAAAGCTGGGGATAAACTTAATGGTAGTTTTGTTGTTGTTGTTGTTGTTGTTTTTGTTTTATACCATGTGCAAGAACCTGTTGATCATCAGCATTAGTGGAGAGGATTCAAAGAACATTTTGCTGGGTGAACTATCAGCTCTTGTAATCACAGTGCTTAGAGAATTAGGGAGGAGGATTGTGAGTCCTGGGCCAACCATAGTAAAACCTTGCCTTAAATAACAAGCAAAGGTACATAACATAGGGATGCTTACTAGACAGGCGAGGCACAGGTTTCCAGGAGCTCTTTCTGTGAGACTCATATAGACATGCTTTCCTCAAGTATGAATGATGGAGACAAGTACAATATATCTCTGGCCAGGGATTCACATGCAAGTGTTATCACCCTGAGTTCTAGTAGGATTCTGGCTATCTAGGTATATGGTTGCCATATACCAGCCTTTTCTAAGAGTAGAATTCACCAAAAAACCAATTTTATAGAAAATAAACAACTCAGTTTTAAAATTGCTTAATTGTAGGACTTGAGACTCAACTTAAAAAATAAAACAATAACATAATAAATGATAAAATTAGTGTGCATTTTTAATAATGAGATTACCTAGGAAAACATTTTAGATTTTTTTAAAGCATAATTTCTTTTTCTATCAACTTTTATAAATAGGTCTTTATGATTTTTTTAAATCCATTTTCTCAGAGTAATAAGGGATGTTATATCATACTAAATGTCTTTTACAATAAATGGGATATCATTTAAAATTATTAAGTAGTAAATCATAGTGGCTACATTCTTTTTCATCTGACAAAAACAAAATCTACCATTTTTTTCTCAGTAACAAAAGATGCTGTAAGTACCTCCCCTGTTTATATTGTGCTAGACATCTTAGCAAGGTAGCTGAATTAGAAATCAACAAACAGAAATCAATCACATTTCTCAGTTGGGCATGTGGTACACACCTTTTAATACCAGCACTTGGGAGGCAGAAACAGGTGAATCTCTGGATTGGAGCCATCTGATCTACAGAGCAAGTTCTAGGACAACCTGGACTTTACAGAGAAACCGTTTCCAAAAACCAAAAAAGAAAAGGGGAGGGGGAGGAAGAGGAATCAAGTGCATTTCTATAAACTAGTAAGAAAATATTATATCACTCAGGTAGAAGAAAATACTTAAAAATAGCTAACATGACTTGAAACAAAATTATGAGATTTATTGAACTCTGTTAATACAGAGGCCTACATAAATGGAGAGGTGGGATTTTTGTGGATTTGAAGAATCATAAGGATAGCAATTCATTCATTACTTATAGATTTATTTTAATTGAATTTGAATTACAGTAGCTTTTGGAATAAAGCTTAAAAATATAAAAATTTTAAGGAGAACCAATGAGGAAACAGTAGCAAGGCACTCCTGAAAAAGTAGTGAAAGGGCTGGGCATGATACTTGCCTTTAACCTCTATACTCACAAGGTAGAGGCAGGTAGATCTCTGAGTTTGAGGCCAGCCTCGTCTACATAGCAAGTTCCATGATAACTGGGACTACATAGACCCTATTTCAAAAAATCAAAAGCAATGAAATAATGAAAGGTGACCATCAAGATGGCTCAGTGGGTTAAAGCACTTGCTCCTAAGCCTGATAACCTGGGTTCAATCCCCATCTCTTGCCCAGGTCCTCAAACTTTTATTTTCTGAACTTAGAACCCTTCCACTTGGTAGAAAGAGAGAAATGATTCCAGCAAGTTGTCCTCTGACATCCACAAATCCTTCCACATAAATAAACACAAATAAAAATGTAATACTTTGTTTTGTTTTAGTTTGGTTTTTTGAGACAGGGTTTCTCTGTGTAGCCCTGGCTCTTTTGGAACTCAGAGATTCTCCTGCCTCTGCCCCTGAGTGCTGGGATTAAAGGTGTGCACCAACATTTTTTTTAATAGTTAAAGGAAAAAGGACTTGGGTGTGTGTGTGTGTTACCATAAGTTAGTTAAGAATAAGAACAAGTTAGTATAATTCAGAAAGCAGTTTCAGATACAAAGAGACAGGTTAGTGGAGCAGAACATACACTCACAAACTTAGTTTACAACTGGTTGGGTACTGCATGCCTTTAGGAAAGGGTGAACTGCTATTTCAGTAGGTCTCAGGCAGTATCCTTTTGGGAGACAATGACGTTGACCCCCTACTTAAAAGGAAAGACAAATGTTTTAAGTTTGACACAGAAACATTACTAGTAACAATTTCCAGGTAGAAGTCTTTCATAAGACATGGAAAAATTGAACCATAAATGATATTCTTTATTAAAGGTAAGCTGTGAGTTTGGAAAAAAATATATGTAGGGCTTATAACTGACACAACATTATATAAAGACTTTCACAGAAAGGAAAAGACAAAATAAACTACCTAATAGATTATTTTTTATTTTTATTATTAGTTACATTTTATTAACTCTGTATCCCAGCTGTCTAATAGAGTATTGAGCCAGATTTCAGTAGGTATGGGAGAAAAGAATTGGTGAATGACCACCAGCAATGACAGAGATCATAGAATACTAAATGCAAAGCTGGGTGTGGTAGTGCATGGCTAAAATGAGGCAGGAGGATCTGGAGTTACAGGCTAGCCTGGATTAAATGGTGCCCTATCTCAACAAACAAACCAGCTATGCAAGAACAAAAGATAGTGATTACACATCAAGACTGTCAAAAGTAAAAACTTCTGACAGTAGTGTTGCTAGTAGTAAATACATCAAGCTGATGATTACTAATCATAATGAAAGTATGTGTTTCTTCTGACTCGGCACAGTCTGTATATTGGAATCTGAAATTCTTGTGATGACTAAGGGACAAAGAAGAGTAGTCACATTTTTAAGTGGCCAAATAAAAATGATTTGTAATATGAAACTGAATTTCAGCAACCATAAGTAAATGGTTGGAATGTTGCTTTATTCATTTGTGGCTGATTTCTTCCTACAACACCAGAGTTCAAAAGCAGTTTACCATTTGGCCCTTTGCCAAAACAGTTTGCTAGTCAACTGCCCTAAGTAAATTTTTTTTGTTGTTGTTCCTGTATTGAGGTATGGTTACCACGCAGTGGTCAAAATAACAGAAACCTGTGTTGAATTATGGCAATCTGTCCTGAATGACTAAAAGGACACTTAGTCACTAATAGTGGAATATAAACTGTGTATTAATTTATGGCAGTCCTCAGATTTTACTTTTCAGTGTTTGAAGTGTTCTTTATATTTGGCATATATTATTTTATAAGTAGAAATATAAAATTTTAAGATGCTGTTAGAAGCCATGCAAGTTTATTACCTTTAAAAACTGATACACTAGTCAATATACTTAGTATTGCATGCCCTAAGTAGATACACTTGAGCCAGTAAAGCTCTGTTAAGAGTCTCTATCAGTATTCCAAGTCATTTTTGTTCTTCTGACCTCTGAACTTGGGATAATAAATCAGAGAACTACTTAGTGATCACAATAGTGATTTTTAAATTCTGAGTAGTTTTTCACTCTGTATGTATATATATCGTATGCATATCCTTAATTAGAAATCTGAAACTATCTCAAATCTGAAACACTGAGTGCAGGCAAAACACTCAAAATGTCTTAGATTTTAGAACATTTCAGATTTTTTATTGTGGAGCTAAGCAAGTTAAGTCTAAGCAAATATTGCAAAATCGAAAAACAAACAAACAAACAAAACACCTCTAAAATCTGAACAGTCCTTTCCCCAAGCATTTTATATAAAGGATGCACAAACAGACTTAAAAAAAATGCACACAGATTATTAGGTAGAAGTGTTTTCTTCTTAGGTGTCTGGATGTGAAAAGACATGTTTTGTAAATGAACTGATAATAATATATATTAGTATAACCATCATTAGAGTTTAAAGAATGGGTATGGGGATATACGTAGTTGATAAAGGGCTTGTATAAGCTCCTGTATTTGATTCCTCACTCCACAAAAACCTATTGTTTTGGTGCATTCCTGTAGTCTCAGCCCTGGCGTGGCAGAGGCTGGAGGAGCAGGTCATTCTTGGCTTCCTAGGAGTTTTAGGTCCTCTTGGTCTACATGAGACCCAGGTTTGTTTTGTTTTGTTTCTCACTGCATTAGCAGTCAGATTCTTTGCCAGGTAATCTTCTGTATGAAATGGCTCAAATATAAATTTACATATGTAGCTTTTGTGCTGAGAGCCATTGTTTTGTGACATTGTGTTCTGTAATCCCAGAGCTTTTCCGTAGTTACTAGTAACTACTCGCTGCATATAACAGTCAAATATTACATTTGAGTGTATGTGATTTGAGGTAGAAAAAGTCAGTAGCACCTTTGTTTTCTTTACCTTGCAGTCAGAAAATGCTGTTCTGATGAAAAAACATGTAGGAGATCAGAGACTTGAACAGAAGTAATAATTCTTTATGCTTACAAGTATCATTTAGTACCTCTTTGGGTGACTTTCTGGCTGCCATAGCTGCCTTGTAAAGAACTACTCTCTTAAGTATTTCATTGATGAAGTTACCTGTCCTGGATGGTTCAGATAATCCATCTTTGCTGGCCACCTTTCTAAGATGCTGGCACATGGCTGTCAGCCTGCTGCTTCAAGACATCTGCTCACATGACTTTCAGCCTGGGGCCCAAGTACAAGATGTTCCCTTGCTTTCCTTGGTCGAATAAACTTGGTCTGTTTCTTTCCTGGTCAGCAGTCTATTCAGTGACATGGTTCTCAGGCTATTCCAGAGCTTTCCAAGATAAACATTTACTTGTTAGAAACAATTTTAGTTAGAGTATCCCAGTTGATCAGAGTTGTGAATGAGTTCTTCCTGTTATTTTCTAATGATGATGTAAAAGTGTCATGGAATGTAGAAGAGTGGGAAGTAGAAACTAAAAAATGGGGAACATCAGAGGAAGACTAGGTCTTAGACTTTCTACCTTTTCCTGCAGTGTGTTGTGGGAATGTTTTCTGGGTGAGTAGTGACTTGAGGGTTGTGCATAGGATTTGGTGGGGAAAAGAGGATAGAAATCAGTTTGAAAGACTGCAGTACTGGCTGTAGGAGAGCTGGATATTCAGACTGAGATCACTGGTTGTTGATGCTCTTGTGCTAATTGTTTTGGCTTTTGCCTTAGAATTCAATAGAACAGTTGGACAGAAAGGGAATTAAGACCCATGTTTTGATGAGACTGAAATAGTAGCTTACTGCTGTTTTAATTTACATATCCAGTTATAGGAAAATAAGTACATTTTTATACAATTTTATTGGCTATTTCTCTTTTGTGAAGAGCTATTTACATCCTCTACCTTTTTTATTATTGGCTATTGCTCTGTAAGGGTTATTTATATAAGCTGGGCATGGTGGTGCACACCTGTAATCTCGGAGAGGCAGAGGCAGATGGATCTCTCTGAGTTCAAGGCCAGCCTGTGTACAGCTGAGTCAAGGACAGCCAGGGTTACACAGAGAAACCCTGTCTCAAAAAAAACAAAACAAAAAAAAACAACAAAATAAAACACCCCCCAAAGTTATTTCTATAATAATGGGATTTCTTGTTAATGAAATTAATTTATTAATAATTAATGATGTTAAATTAATTATATGATACATTTCCTACGTATTGAATTTAAGACAGTCTTTTTTTCTTTTTATAGGGTATGACTGTGATTTCTGATGAAACCAGATTGGAATAATTTTCATGATATTTGTATATTTATATATATATATTTTAAAATTTTACATTTGACTTAAAGTGCCATGAGAAAATTTGCATATTGCAAGGTGGTTCTGGCCACCTCCTTGGTTTGGGTACTCTTGGATATGTTCCTGCTGCTTTACTTCAGTGAATGCAACAAATGTGATGAGAAAAAGGAGAGAGGACTTCCTGCTGGAGATGGTGAGCGGCCTTTTCTATAACTTTTCTTAAGTATATTGGTCATTTTACTAATGTGAATAATAAAATTCTATATTTTATATTTAAAATTTAGATTTATAGCTGTATATTAATCCGTATAAATTTAAATTTTTATGTTATATTTTATACAATTAGATTTATATATAGATTTAAATTTTAAGGTAAATTGTAGCCCCTATGTTCCTATGTTGTGATTATATTTCTAACAGTGTTGTGATTGTTTCTTCTGACAGTTGAATGTTAAATTGTCATTGATTTGCTAAGTTTAGTTTTTTAATTTAATTATAAATATAATTAATTTTCTATAAAGTATGTTACCAAGTGATATAGGGAATCTCGTAGTTGGAACTATCAAAATTATAGATTGATCTAATGCCATAATTCAGAATGGAACACTGAAGCTTTGTTAGCAAGTATCAAGTCTCCTGTTTGTCTATCTCATTCTCTAGAGCAGTGGTTCTTTCTCTCTCTTTTTTCTTGATTCTTTTTAATTTATGCACTCCCCATTTATTTATTGGTTTATTTATTTATTTGTTACATATATAGTATTCTGCCTGCACACCAGCAGAGGGCACCAGATCTCATTATAGATGGTTGTCAGCCATGATCGGGGAATTGAACTCAGGCCCTTTGGAAGAATAGCCAGTGCTCTTAACCTCTGAACCATCTCTCTAGCCCCAAGCAGTGATTCTCAACCTTCCTAACGCTATGACTATTTAATACAGTTCTACATGTTGTGCGGACCCTCAACCATAAAATTATTTTCGTTGCTACTTCATAACTAATTTTGCTACTGTTTTGAATTATAATGTAAATATCTGTTTTCTGATATGGATCTTGGGTGGCCTCTGTGAAAGGGTTGTTTTATACCCTCCCCACAAGGGGTGTGGCCCACAGGTTCAGAACCTCTAGGGGAAGAAATCTTTAAAAGTACTGGGGAATTCTATTTGCTCATATTGTAGATAGCTTCAATTAGCACTTTCAAGGAAAGCTATAGATTATCTTGCAGTGAGATCATTGCAGTGTTGTGGGAAGCAAAGAAAACACAAAGGACCTGGATAGGTAATGCTGATGTTTTGGCAGGGAACATGAGAAATTCGGGTTTTTGTTTGTTTGTTATTATTTGTTTTTGACAAACAGGGTTTCTCTGTGTAGCCTTTGCTATCCTGGAATTTCCTCTGTAGACCACCTGCTTCTGCCTCCTAAGTAATGGGATTAAAGGTGTGCACCACCACCCCTGGCTTGGCAGTTTTACTCTTATAAAAATGATATGTCGTTATTCTTCCAGTTCAAATTTTCTTTGACTCTTCAGTTTTTATAACGAGGAAGACACTTGGTCCAAAATTTGTGATCTAAAAGTTATTTATTTATGTTAGTAACTGTGTATGCTTAACCATAATTTTTTTAGATGGGTTTATAGTACCAGTTCTGCTTAGTTGCTAGAACAGGATGTTAATGATACCTAGATTAGCCCCATCAATCTACTTATAAGTTCATGAAATAATACTTTATGGCCCTGCTGCTATATAAATAACATTGTTGAGTGACAAAACACTGCCTTCCTAACTGTGGATAGAGCTGGACACCCTGCTCCCTTTAGACAAAGGACAACTGTTATTTCTCACTGGTATGAAACTTGCTGTTCCTACCCCAGACAGAGTGACTTACTTCTCCTTCAACCAACTTTAGTGTATTGTCAGTTAGAGTGAGAGCTTTTGGTTTCCATATGGAATTCAGAGGCTTAAAAGCAAGTGAGAATAGGGACACTGTCATGCCTGAAAACTCACTTGGAGAATGTGTTTAAAGCTCTGACAGATGCTGGACAAGAGCAGAGAAAGAGCTGGAGAGATGGCTTAGTAGTTAAGATCACACTAGCTGCTCCTGAAGAGGACTTGGGTTCAGTTCCCTGCACCCACACAGTAGCTCACAGCCATGTGCAACTCCAATTGTAGGGAATTTGATACATAATGTGTAGGCAAAGCACTCATACACATAAATAAAATAAATACATCTAAAAAGAATTTCTCCCTTCAAGAAACTTGTCAAAGCTAAGCATGATGCCTGCAGTGTTGGCATTTGTTAGGGTGAAAGAGGATCTTGTGGCATGCTGTGGATTTTGACCCATCTGCAGGCAGTGGTCAAGCCCTCAAAGGATTTCAGACAAGGCGTTAAGTCGTCTAACAAGATTGGCACTTTTGAATGAATTGGTAGTTGTGGCTAGAGTGGACTAGAAGAGAACACGGGTAGCAAGAACTAGTTAGAGGCTATCATTGAAAGTTTGGAAGAAAGAAAAGTTTAAGTTGACCCTCATATGTTGCTTAAATAGATTGCTGAGGCAGACTCCCAGAAGAGGAGGAGCTTGGATGAGACTCTGGGTCTTAGAAGCCCAGGAATAAGTATTGTTCAAGTATTACTGAGATGTAGTTTGTTTCCTCCCTTGTCCCTCTGATGCATCCACACAGTAGACTCTTTTTTTCTCCTGTGTTTCCAATATGTTTCGTAATAAGGTTTCTGATGACTGTTCTAAGTTCCATTTCAGAGAATATAAGCATGGAAGGCAGTGATTGTGTGTACTATTGAAAAAAAGAGATCTGCAGCTTCTTTCAGACACTTCAGCATGAGGAAGTGGATAAACAAGGTTAAAGAAATATCTGTGCACACATATGTTTTGTACTTTGAGAGAGCCGTATTGGTGAAAAGAGGGAAGAGGAAATTATCAGCAAGTAGGACAATGCAGTATTGAAATTGCAAGAAAGGGGTCATTCATGAAGATCCTAAGGTTAATGTGGTTTTGAGAACCACTAGTAGCATAGACTTCAAAGAAAAGGAGTTAACTTTTGTATGAAAGTACAAAGTAATAGAGAAATGGGTTGGAAATAACAGCATGAAATGAGGTGATAATGCTTTGCCTGTGGAGAAAAAGTGAACCCAGTCATTTCAGAAAAGGTTATGAGGTTAGTGAGCCTCTTTCGGAGAGCTGGATTTGAGTTAGATCTTGAGGAGACAAATGAAGTAGTTTTTTGATGGCCTGGGGGGTACCTGGTGTTGAATTGAGAAGGATATCATCAGTGGGAGAGCATTACTTTGAAGAAACACTGCTAGCTTTCTGCCACTGTAACAAGCATGAAAGGTAAATCACTGCTGCTTTTAGACCTGTGTATGGCAAGGGCAGAGTGTGTAGTAGAGGAAGCTGCCCACCTGTGATGACCAGGAAACAATGAAGTGGGTGGGGGCCACAGGATCTGAATATCCCCTTCATGGATATGTACTCACTTGCTGGTTTCACCTCTTAAACATTCACTTGCTTGGCAGACAGGCAGGATTTGTGTTTTTAAAACTACATTACTTGAGTTTCTTATAATTCCAGATATTTAAATCTCCATCTTAAAATCACAGCAACAATGAGGAAATTATTATATATCTCTTTTTTTCTTAGTGAATCTGTGGATACATTTATATATTCTTGAGAGAGTTGATGAAAACACTGAATAACTTCATATTTTGTAGGATCTTGCTCTGGTGTCCCTTATGCTCCTTTGCTCTTAGATCTCTGCTGAAAGAATTCAGACAGAACACACAGTAGTGTAAACAGTGTGTTACAAAGTGAACTAGGTCACCCTCAATAGATGAGAATGGGCAGTGGCCAAAGGGACCATTGAAAAGTAGGACACTGAGAGTGGCCAGAAAGACCATTGTACAATGTAGGAAAGTCTCAGGGGGTTAGAGTGGCCAGTGACTAGTAAGACCATTGTGCTCACCTGCAGTTTTTTATGGGCTTTGTACTGTTTCTAAAGTCTCTGACCACTTGGTTCTTCAGATGACTGACAGACCTATCTTTCAGACAGTCTAGAATGTTCAGCTCTACCCAGAGCCAGGGTTTCAGGGATGGGATTGTGTTATCCAGTTTGTGTAGCAAGCACTCTAATGACTGGACCATCTGCTTAGCCCTGTACTATAATTTCAGTGACATTTCAAAGCTTAAAAAGGGGCAGTTGTGGTGACGTTTTCCTTCTTTCAGTCAGTGGGGGAGGTGGTATATACATATGTGTGTGCTTATACGTATGTATGGCACACAGATGTCAGAGTTGATGTCTGGTATCTTCCTTTATCGCTTTGTGTCCTAATTTTTTTTTCCCCCTGCAGTTTTTTGAGACAGAATTTCTCTGTGTAGCCTTGGCTGTCCTGGAACTCACTCTAGATCAGGCTGGCCTCAAACTCAGAGATTCACATACCTCCAGCTCCCAAGTGCTGGGATTAAAGGTGAATGCTACCACTGGCCCAGGTAATGTGTTATTTTTTTTGAGACAGGTTTTCTTAAGCTGACGCTCACTTATTGGGCATAATTATCCAGCCAGAAATCCCCAAAGGTCCTCCTGTCTGCTTCTCTAGCACTGGGGTTGCAGCCACGTGCTGCTCCACTCAACTTTCTGACAAGCACTTTATCAACTTTACTTCCAGTTTAGGAGAGTCAGTTGTGATATTTCTTCCTTCTTTTAGGTATCACTGTTTTCACTCACTAAATTAGTGTGCTAAGAAGATGAGAAAGGGTGAACAAAGCTTATTTTCAAGGAAAAGATGAAGCAAGCCTCTTCCCTGTAGATCTGCTGGTCATAGAAGATGTCCAAGAAGAAACAAAACAAAAACACCAACCAAACAACTAAACCAACCAACCAAACCAAACCCCTACCAAGCATAAGGTCTTCTACCCATTGCCCTCAGAATCCCCAAGACTAAATAGGAATAATACTTACTAGTAGGACCTTCAGGAACCAGTAACAAGATTAATTTTACACCTATCTATATAGTGCTGTGTGTGGCATGTGTGCATTGGAGGTAAGCGGACAACCTGCACGTAGGACTGGATTTCAGCCTCTTCACAGTGTAGGTTCTAGGCCTCAAACTCAGGTTGTTGAGCCAGCTGTTAAGCACCTTTATCTACTGAGTTGTTCCAGTAGACTCGTAACAACTGAGAGCCTGTGATTTCAGTTCTTGGTTGTATAAACTGCTGATTATAAGGACGGCTGTCTTCTCAGTGATACTCAGGTCTGCTGATAGTGTCTGCCTGGCTACTTTGTAGTATTGGTAGTTGCCTGTACCACACCTCAGACAGCACCTACTGACTTGTACTTAGGCAGATGATGTCGATCTGAGAAGGCTTTTCTGTGTCCTTAAAGTTACCATTTTTGTATAGAGGCACTTTCAGAACACTTAAAAAACAAAAACAAACAAACAAAAAACATGACTCACTACTAGAAAATAAAGCTTTCCAGGTTTAAAAATAAGTAAGTAGGCTGGAGAGACAGCCCAGCAGTTAAGAGCAGTTGTTCCTATAGAAGACTGGGTTCAAGTCTCAGAACACACATAATGGCTCACAGCCATATGTAACTTTAGTCCCAAGGGATCAGATGCCTTCTGACTCCTCGGGCACCAGGCATGCCTGTGGTGTACATGTATACATGTAGGGAACACTCATACCCATAAAAATAAGTCTAAAAAGTAATAAAGAAATTGTAAACAAAACTTATTTTTTATGCCATTCTTGCTCTTTCTGCCTTCTCTTATTCACCCTGTGCAGATGACAGCTCTAATACAGTAACTTCTAAGTTTGGCGTATCCTTCAGCTTAAAATTCCTTGGAACTTTTTTTTTTAACTCTTAAAAGCATAGTAGAGCAGAATCTGCAGAATGCTCATTATCTGGCACGGTGCTCTTGTTCACAACACAGTTACCTCCATACAGCATTACTTAGGAGTAGTTATGCTTGGTACTCCACCTCACATGCTCACTATATATAAACTATAGATAAACTCCAGCATTTTCATCTGAACCTGCTCATTAGTTCAGTGTAAAGCTACTGTGAAACACTTGACTAAGCTTCTGTAGAGCTTACATGTCAGAGCCATGATCTAGTGTTCTGGGCTTGTGTTAAGTTTATTAATTGTGAGAGATGGTGGCTGATGAGAGACATGGAAAGAAGTCCTGGAAGGACAAATTGTGTGGCAGTGGAGTGATGATAGTTGATTCTGGGCCAAAGGTAAATGACAGTCTCCAGGAACATGAATTTGTGCTTCTCCGGTTGATGTTTCACTATGAAAGTGGTGACATGAGTGTTTCTTAGTCACAGAACAAATGAAAGTTACAGATCAGCATGCTTGTCAGATACATTGGTGACAGCTACAGGTAGGCACTTTACAGCAAAGTAGGGAGTTCTCTACAATGGGTATCTAATGATATCCTTAGCTTTTGGATTGGTAGTGGTTAGAGGTGTGCTAAGAATACATTTCAAAGTTATCATGTAGTCAAAAGGTCATTGAAGATAGCCAAAGATAATTTGACTGTGGACCTTCAACATTCCAACTCTCCATAGTCACAGAGTTCTTTTTTTTTTTTTTTTTTTTTCTATTTTGGTTTTTTATTAGAATGAACATCTTCAGTTAACTAATTACTTCTTTACATAGTTTATTTTTGATGTTTTATACATATATACAATGTATAGCAAATACATTCATATCCCTATTACCTTCTAGAATCCCCATTTCTTTCTTTCTTATTTATTTATTTACTGTTAATTACACTTTATTCATTTTGTATGCCCCCATAAGCCCCTCCCTCCTTCCCTCCCTACCCCACTCTCCTTCCCCCTTCCTCATGCATGCCCCTCCCCAAGTCCACTGATAGCGGAGGTCCTCTTCTCCTTCCTTCTGATCTTAGTCTATCAGATCGCCTCAGGAGTGGCTGCATTGTCATCTTCTGTGGCCTGGTAAGGCTGCTCCCCCCACAGGGGGAGGTGATCAAAGAGCAGGCCAATCAGATTATGTCAGAGGCAGTCCCTCTTCCCTTTACTATGTAACCCACTTGGACACTAAACTGCCATGGGCTACATCTGTGCAGGGGTTCTAGGTTATCTCCATGAATAGTCCTTGGTTGGAGTGTGAGTCTCTGGGAAGTTCCCTGTGTTCAAAGTTTTCTGGTTCTGTTGCTCTCCTTGTGTGGTTCCCGTCCTCTCCAGCTCTTACTATTTCCCACTTCTTACATAAGATTCCATGCACTCTGCTCAACAGTTGGCCATAAGTCTCAGCGTCTGCTTTGATTGTCTGCAGGGCAGAGGCTTTCAGAGGCCCTCAGTCACAGAGTTCTAATCAGTCAGCCAACATTGTACAGTCTTCAACATAGGTCTGTCTTTTGGAGACTTCAGGTTGTAAGAATAATGAATAACTTATTTAGAAAGGAAAGGGAAGCCATTTTAGTTGCCTTTAAAAGATGGGGTAGTAGTTTCCTATGGTAAAGATAGAATTGGGAAGGGGGATATCAGAGGTGGCAGCCTGCCTGAGAGCAGGGAGGAAAAGGCATAATTAGATGGAAGTGGCAGCCATTGAGCCAAAGGAGGGAATGCTGAGGAGTACTCAGCAGGCTTAGAAAATTAGGTTAAATTCCATGAAGGGAAGTGAGTAGCAGTGAAGCCTGTTTACATCTAGGAAGGCTGCAGCGGTGGTTTCCGAGGTATCTGCAAAGCCGTTTAAGATTCTAAATGAAAAAGAGTAAGTCTGAGAGGCCAGTGTCACTTCGCCAACATGGGGCAACTGTGCAGGCTGGGAGGACCCAGAAGAGGCTCTATTGTTGAGGACACAGTTTTCACTTGAATGTTGTTACTCGAAAGCTTGCATGAGTTGTCATGAAATTAGTGTCAGTTAAGCTTCTTCCTTCTTCTTAGTTCTAGAGCCAGTACAGAAGCCTCATGAAGGTCCTGGAGAAATGGGGAAGCCAGTCGTCATTCCTAAAGAGGATCAAGAAAAGATGAAAGAGATGTTTAAAATCAATCAGTTCAATTTAATGGCAAGTGAGATGATTGCACTCAACAGATCTTTACCAGATGTGAGGTTAGAGGGGTAAGTACATAGTGTGTCCTGGTTGCACTTGAATGGAAGGCTTGTCTGCATTACCCAGGAGTCCTTTGCCTTAGTGCTGTTTTTTCTGTCACAGGTGCTGTTTAACTCTACTTAATTCTAAGTTAAGTGCTGATGTTACTGTTACTGTTCTGCTGACTCAGGAACTAGGAAAGTGATTACTTCTCCTAATGGATTATTAGGGTATACCAAACACAAAAAATATTCATGTGTCCAATCTTTTACAGAAAGACTTTAGGTGTATGTATTGATGCAGTGGAATATGCAGTCCCACGTATACACCTGCTATGCAGCATCATCCAAAACAATATATGTACAATCCCAGAAAGTTCCCCTTATTTTCATTTCCAGTTACTTCTCCCACCTCCAGAGACAACCTTTGTTTGGACCCTTGTATACAGAGGTGATATACTTCTCCATTGTGGAAAACAGGAAAGTCTATACTTGTGCTGCACAACACTGTGCCAGTAGACAGGAGTACTGACTCAAATGCGTAAATCCTTAAAGGGAGCTGGAGAGATGTGCATGAGTCAGCATTCACTGCTCTTGTAGAGGGCCCAAGTTTCACTCAAAGCACCTACAGTGGGCAGCTCACAACCACTTATAATTCCAGTTTCAGGGGGATCTAACTCCCTCTTCTGGCCTCTGAGGGCACCTGCGCTCACATGTACATTTTACACATACACAATTACAAAGGAAAATCTTTTTAAAAAAAAACTCAAGGATATACATGCCATGTGCCTTTATAAGTAGATATTAGAAGCATATTTTAAAAATTAGATCAAAACCTTTAATGCCTCAAATATCAGCACTTGGCAGGCATATCTCTTTTAAGTTCAAGGCCAACCTGGTCTATACAATGAGTTCTAGGGATATATAGACTCTATCTCAAAACAAACAGAACAAAAACAAAACAAAACCTGAAATTTTAAATCAAATTACCAGTTCCTACAAAATTATAAGTGATGCCAGAGAAAAGCAAAAATGGTAAAATAGTATAACTATTAAATCAATAAATTGTATAAGGCCTTTGTAAATGGACATATATAAACAAATAATAACAAATTTCCAGTCATACACAGCCTTGTCACTAAATTACATTTTTTGTACATCTAAGGAAGAAACAAAGCCAGGCTTTTATCAGAAAAAGAAGGAGCATACTAGTGTGCATCATGAAGTCAGTGATCAGTGTAAAAGTTAGATAAGGACATAATAAACAAGAAGTGTTAGCCTAATCTCACTAATAGGGTAGACATGGATTTATGAGTGAAAAGTTATTTGAATCTAGCAATATATAAATTTCATACATTGAAGCCAAACGTCCATACCTAAGAAGATGGTTAAAGGTGAAATTCACTACAGTAGCAGAAAAAGGGTATGTTGATGTGTTTGTTTCATTAAATACAGAGACAATATTTGTTAAAATTTGTTGCTGTCATGATACGCCTTAGGAGCTTCAAAGGGTACTTCCTTAATCTGATCTGTAGGCTGTCTGAACAGAGCAGCACAGAAACCCCTTACAGCAAATACTCATATTGAATAGTGACCCCGAGAACTCAGGGACAGGTGCAGTGCTTGGTGCACTACTTCTGTTCAGTGTTCACATTGGTTGTCTGCCACGTGTGCGGTACATTTGGCACTCGAGGCTGGGCAGGAGGATTGTGAGTTTGAGGAAAGCCTAGATATGCATAAGCCCTGCCTCAGCCTTATTCTCAACCTCCAACCCTCAAATGGGTTATAGATAGAGAATTATCATCCATAAGGTGATGGTTTGGGGGGGGGTCTATTATTCTAAGGAAGAGATAGTAGTATATGTTAGTTTTTCAGGCAAAAGCTAGAAGATATTTTTAAAATATCCTTTTAGATATTATTGAACATATCAAATGTGGGGGATCTGCGCTTTGAAGGAAATTCTGAAGTGTTATTGAGAAATGAAATACCTAAATAAATGAAGACAATACCCTATGTTTAACATAATATTATAAAGATGTTGATTCTCTCAAATTTATTTAACTTAGTGTAGTTCTAATCATAAGTGTGTGTGTGTGTGTGTGTGTGTGTGTGTGTGATTTGATTGTTGATTATGCTACTGGAAATACAAAGAGCTGGAAGAGCCAGGAATTGTAAAATTATGAAGATTTCTTTAAAACCTATAGTAATCAAGATAGGAAGTTCTTACAAAATTAGGATAGATTGGTGGAACATAAGCAGGGAGTTTTATTCACATCTCATACATTACAGCATTTAGGAATCAGAGGCAGAAAGATTTCTGTGAGTTGTTCCAGGACAGCTAGGGCTACACGATGAGACCCTATCTCAAACAACAACAAATAGTAAACAGAATAGGATACTTTGAAGTAGTAGAAATGAACAAAAGCTCCATGTCATTCCAAGGATGAATCTCACCAACATAATAAATAGCAAAATAATCATACAATGCATATAGAGAGAAATACTGCTTGCGAAAAAGTCAAAACAGACCAAATAAAACTTGTGGAACCACCATAGTTTCTCCTTTGGGACAAATGAGATGGCAACAGCAACAGGGTAGTTTGTGATGTGACAGTGTTTTCTTCTCACTTAGTAACAGTTACATGGTTTTTTGCTCTGTGCTAGCTCATTCAGCTCACATTTGTTGGGTGTGTTTGTTTTGTTTTTGCAGTTCTGGGAATTCAGCCCAACAAATTTGTTTTGTGTACTCTGTATTTGGTATACTTCATAATATAGTCAATTTGGAAATGAGGGGGATGTGAAGCACTTTATAGCAGCGCGTGGAGATAAGGCAGCTGTGATGGTGTGTGGCTTGAGAGTATAAAACGGTATTTGTGTGTTGATGAAAATGACTCAAGTGAGGGAAATTAAAAGGAGGTGGTTAAGAGCAAAGGCTTTGGGGCATCAGGTGAGATGGTACATAGATAAGAACAGATCATTTGTGCCTCCTATAGAGGAAAAAGCATGATTTTATAGTTCAGATACTTGTAGGATGGTGTATGTATGTTGGTGACATTATGGAAATTCACTTCAGAAGCTTTTATTTCCTTTTTGAAGTTGGAAACACAGTTTTAAGTGCGAAGGGCAAGAGTAGTTTAGGAATCTGAGATGCGAGAGAGCTCGAAGGAAAGCAGTAGTGCTGCTAGTGTGAGGAGAGAGCCCACTTGAGGGGTAGGCTGGCTTTTGTGAGCCACATTGAATAACCCAAGCACAGATGCACAACTAGGACAAAGTTGGATTGAGCTAAGTCTTCATTAAGTTTACCTTTATTCTAGCTTTCTGTTTAATATTGTTTGCATTTTGTTCCCACCTTTTCTGTTTTGCTAATGGGCACAATTTTAGCTGATTCAAATATCAGCTTCCCGGTATTGCTTTGGGGCTATACATTTTGTTTTCATTCATTTCGCATAACATCTGGGCATGCTGTAATGGTGGATTTAGTTTTACTTGTTTTCATGTGTGTTCATATCAGTGTAATATAGTTTTGATCTGAACATTCATATTTTCTTTAAGTGTTGGGCATTTCTCAGATACAGATACATTAACTCCAGTTTGATCTTCTGGACCAACTTGTATATAATAACTTGATAATGACATAGTCCAAGTCTGGCATTTCCATTTACTAACTTATGATTACCAGACTCTGTATTTCAGAGAAGTTATTTCCTCTCACAAGTGTGATTGTGAGGATTGATCCAGTGCTGTGATGTTACCCAGCACCTAGGATCCAGAAGGCCAAGAGTGAGCACTGTGTCCACTGAGGATTCTTGAGAGAACCTGGTTTCCAAGGAGGATTCATAGTGAAATGCCAAGTCAGAAATACAGACTAGCCTTAGCTCAAACTCACGCTGGAGCTGGGCAGCAACTGTGTTCCGAGTAGCTTCCTAAATGGAAAGATACTGTCCCTAGCCTGTGACTTGCTCACCACATTTTTAAGTCCAAAAAACCCCCCTTGTTTCTAGAATATAAACTTAACTAGTTTGGATCATCCTGTGAATTTTACTGCCTTATGAGTTGCCAAGATCATTCATATTTACTTATAGACACTGGAGGAAAGAATGGCATTGTTCAGTGTTAAGATTGTTTTCTAATATGTGATCTTAGGAAAGGAGCCCTACAACAAATTCCAAGTTAGTCAGTAGTTCACTCTTACATGTTTAAGAAGTAATAATGGTACCACTTGCCACGTACTAATTGGGTAGCAGTCTGTGTAAATACCATACTTAAATAGTTGTCAAAATCAGACCTTGACTAAATGACCTGTCTTGTGTACATAATAAGTAACCCAAATGAAATTGGATTCCCGGTCTCCATGGCTGTGCTGCTGCTTTTATGGTTAATCTCAGTCAGTCCTAACTTGAGTGTATACAGGCAGGACCTGTAACAGCACTCAGCACTGCTTGCTAGGTAGCCAGGCTTCTTATAAATGTTACATTATTGTTGGTAAAAAGCTAGTAATCGACCAGAGTTAGTAGGTCATGAAAAGTGCCATGGAGAAGAGGATTAGAGTATATGTGATAGGTGTTTTTACCTTTACTTAAACCTCCTTTCTGAGTTCTATCATATACTACTGCAGCGTTAGGATATATATATATATATATATAATGTATCTAATGTATGTATGTATATAATGTATACATATATATGTATATAATGTATATATGTATATAATGTATATATAATGTATATATAATATCATAAATGTTGAATTTGATACGTGGTTAAACCACTTACTAGCTGTCAGTTTGACCAAGCTTCTTAATTTCTCTACTCTTAGTTTCCTCATCTGTAAAACTCCTAATTTCAGGATACTTTAAAACGTTAGTTAGCAGGACCTTTGCAGTGCCTTGAGAATTAGAATAGCCTTGAATTTTAACCACGGAAAGAAAAGATCCCGGAAAAACTTCGTCTCTTGCTAAGGAACTAGGCAGGATTGGAGAGGAGCTATTTTCCTCTTTCCCTTTCTTTACTACTGCAGCCTTCAGGCAGTTTTACATAGCGACACAGTGGCAGCAGTGAAGAGAGAAGAGAAATCCTTTCTCTGACCAGAGGCCATCTGGTCCCCAGAGCATAGGTAGAGTTCCCACTGCTTTCCTTTCTCTGTTTCCTGCCACTACACGTAATAGTGCAGATTCAGAAGTGCTGATGTCTATCAATATTGAATGGAAAAATAAATTACTACATATGTTCATAACACAAAGAGTATACAGCAATAAAAATAAACTCAAATGCTGGCTCAGCCATTGAGAGCACTGGCTGCTCTTCTGGAGGACCTGGCTTCAATTCCCAGCATCCATACCATCTCACAAACCATCTCCAACACCAGTACCAGGGGATCAAATACCCTCTTTTGGCCACTGCAGGCACCAGGTGTACACATGGCACACAGACAGGTATGCACACAGATAGAATACCCATACACATAAAATAAAATAAAATAAAATAAAATAAAATAAAATAAAATTGAAAATAAATGTGCTGTTACACATTATAGTGTGGATGTTATACATATAATGTTGAGTGTAAAGAATTCAGACAGAAGGATATGCTGTGCACCAGTACTTAGGTTGTCCTGGGACTTAGTTCTTGCTGAGATCTTTTCAAGGAATCTGCAAGGTGAGATCCCATTTTCATAATACAAAAATGTTTTTCCTTTTTGTTCTTAAATTTTCAACTAGTAAACAAAAATCTTGAAGGGCTTGGTGAATTAATAACTAGGCAAAGGAAAGATCATATAATAGTTTGTATACGGAAAGCTTAATGTGAAAGCTATTGCCTCTAATGGGTCTAACCATAAGGGGGTGTCTTAGTTACTGTTTTATTGCTGTGAAGACACACCATGACCAGCTTATAATAAAAAAAAAGCATTTCATTGGGGCTTCCTTATAGTTTAGAGGGTAGTTCGTGATCATGGTGGCAGGCAGGCATGACACTGGAGTAGTAGCTCCACACTCAGGAGGCAGAGAGTGGAGACTAAGCTTAGTCTAAGCTTTTGAAACCTCAAAGCCCACACCTAGTGACACACCTCCTCCAACAAGGCCACACCTCCTAATCTTTCCTACAGTCTGTCAGCTGAGGACCAGGTATTTAAATATATGAGTCTGTGGGGGCCATTCTCATTCAAACCATCACAAGGGATTAAGACAATTATAATAGATAACCTAGGATTTGAAGGAAAGTATCAAGAAGAAAATTATGGAAGGGAGCCCCCTGTGCCTGTAATGTACACCTCTTTGGAGAAGGACTGATTACATTTACTGATAGCAGAAAAGTTTGTTGCTGTTCCCTATTCAGACTTGGTGATCTTCAGAATGGGAACTGGCAGTCAGGCCTGACAAGCCAGAAATGTATTTAAGTCTGTATTTGCACAAGAAATCAAGACCAGAATGGACAAATAAGAACTGCCTTTCACCATGCACTTGGTGGCGCATGCCTTTAGTCCCAGCACTCAAAGCAGAGCAGACGGTTCTTTGTGAGTCTACAAAGCAAGTCCAGAACAGTCATTACTTGTTACACAGAAAGAAACCTGTCTCGAAAACAAAGCAAAACAAAGCAAAAAAAGAACTACCTTATCAGAGTACACATAGCCAAACCTGACAAACCAGTTGTTGGGTACCTAGAAAACTTTCTGAGAATCTGTCTTCTGGGGTGCTACTAAAATTCAGTGGAACCCCATGAGTGTTTGTTGTAGCTCACCAGATAGTGTTGAGTGCTCATATACTCCACTTTGTCCTCCCTGCTGAAGGGAGAAGAAAGCACGTGAACACATACAAACCAGAAGGCAAGTTTCTTTCTCTATAAAGTTGCTCTACCGTTCTCTGCTGACAGAGCTTATTAATGCACCAACTACAAGGAGAGCCACTTAACTGGAGCCAATCCCATTATTATAGAGCCGCCATTGACAAGTCTTAAGGATAGGAAGCAATGAATAGATAATATGTACATTATTTGACAGATGGATCCTTTTTGATACTGATGTCAAATGTGTTTGTGGATTCTTGTATTTTTAAAAGTCTACTTTATAACATAAATATACCAGTAGATAGAACTCACACAAACAAAAGTGCTTTGAAATCCTCAGTTTCCAAACAAGTAAAGGAATTGTAAGTCAAAAGTTTGAAAAACACTGCTTTCCAAACTATCAGAATTCTTGCATAATGCTGAAATTCAGTACAGAAAGGAAGCAAAAAGGAAGCCTCCGAGTCCTTTTTCATTTCTGCGTGTGTACCTTCACAGATATTATTCAGCTACACAGTGAAGGTCTCTCAGAATTTTGTGCATATAGTTCAGTCAAAAAGATTCTAATTTTTTTAAAGCCAGTTGGTTCTTAAAGTGCAGTTTGAGATTGATACTATAGCCTTAGTTTGTTCGTCATTAAAAATGAATTAATTCATCCAGATGTGGTCACACCTTTAAATCCCAGTACTTGAGAGGCAGAGGCAAGAGGCCCTCTGTGAATTCTAGGGGAGCTTGTTCTGCATATCAGGTCCCAGGCTAGCCAAGGCTACATAGTGAGACCCTGTTTCCAAAAAAAAAAAAAAAAAAAAACCAAAAAAATTAAACAAAATGAATCAAACCAAAAACTTTCATCAGGAGAGCTTATTTTAAGAATATAGGCAATATCTTTAAGATAATTTTATTTAAATCTATTACTTTATATCAGTATTACTTCATATGCATACAACTTTAATCAAAACTTAAATGGAAAACCATTAAGAATCTCACCATTAGTACAAACTTTATTGTTCTGTCAACTTTTCTAGTACAGTTCCATTTACTGTCTTAAGGTCACTTTCATAAAGGCATTTGCTTTGTCTCTAGGTGTAAAACAAAGGTGTATCCAGATAACCTTCCTACAACAAGCGTGGTGATTGTTTTTCACAATGAGGCGTGGAGCACACTTCTGCGAACAGTCCATAGTGTCATTAATCGCTCACCAAGACACATGATAGAAGAGATTGTTCTTGTAGATGATGCAAGTGAAAGAGGTAAATTCTGCATTTTAATGCCAGTGATATCAGATCTTTGATCACTAACAATTTGCAAACTATTACTGTAACTTTAACCTAAGAATTAATTGTATGTAAACTTCCAAGTTATCTAAAAATTCTTAGCATTTAAACTCATTCACATAAGTATACCATTGTGAAACATAAAAGTATTACTTTAGTGTTTAATTGTGCTGCATCTTAATCTTACCAGAAAAAGAAATAATGCGTTAAAATGTGTTGATGTAGAACAGGAAAAAAAACCCCACAAAATCTTGTTAGAATTTTTTCTGTGGTAAGTTGCAGCTCTGAGCATGAGTGGAGAAATTAAATCTGAGTGGTAGGAAGAACTTTTAACAGCAAAATGGAGTTCAGACTGCAATTTTCTGGAGTCTTCTGCAGCTTTCCTGTTTCCTTTCTAAAATTTCAGGAATGATTTGTAGTTAGCTGCATTAACACGATTAATACATTGTAGGTAATCTGACTGTTCTCACAAATCTCTGTCACATCTCTTGCTTAGATACCCTCTGAGAATATAAGGATTTTTCACAGATTTAATGTTTCAGAAAGCACTCTTTTAAAAGATACACTAATTAAAAGTAACCACCATTGTTTATTCTGAATCCTTCTCTAAGATTTCACTTTGAAGAAGCTATAGAAAAGACAGTTGCTAAAATCAGAAACCAGTATTTCCCAATTGCTTCCTCCCTGGCCCCCAAAAGCTCCATCTATTTGCCACTCAGCAGTGTTATGTGTTGCACAGGTATTCTCTGATCACACGGGAAAGATTTGGAGAGAACTACATACAGGAAGTAGATTCTTTTTGCTATTCATTCTTTTCTCTGTTGGTGTGTGTGTGCATGTGCACACACACATATATATATATATATATATATATATATATATATATATATATATATATTTTTTTTTATTTATTTTTTTTTTTTTTTAAGGATGTCTGTGTGTGGAGTTGTACACTTGAGTGCAGGTGTTTCAAAGAAAATATCAGATCCCTTGGAGCTGGAGTTACAAGCAGTTCTGAGCCTCCCAAAGTGGGTTTTAGAAACTGAAGTTGGATCCTCTGGAAGAGCAGCAAGTGCTCTTAGCCTCTGGGCCATCTCTCCAGCCCCCATAGCTTCTTAGCCCATCATTTTCACATCTTTAGGTAAAATCAGCTTTTTCACCCGTTCTCTCATTGCTTCTGCTGAGGTGATTACAGTAAATATTATACCCTTTCCTAACTGAGTCCATGCTATATTTAAAAGTAGTTATAGGTAGACATACCATGCATTAGTTCTGGGAATAGTTTGTGGTAATAATAGTTTAAGTCTTATTATTTTGCCAGTTTATACAAGTATAAGTGAAAAATAAAATAGTTTTCAAGTGCCCTCATCTTACTTCCTTAATCTAATCAAATAGATAAATTGTAAGCACAGAAGCTATTTACAAGTGTAGTGTATAGTAAATGTCAGAATGAATGAGAGCTATTATTAATTAAATAGACTACACTTAAAGAATAACTGTTGACAGGGCAGGTGAGATGGTTTAGGAGGTAAAGTTGCTTGTGTTCAGTCCCAGGAACCCACAATAGAAGAGAGCTGACTCTCCTTATTTTCTTTTCAGTGCTAGAATTAGAATGCAAGTCCTTGTGCATGCTAGACAAATGCCCTACCACTGACCCACATCCCTAGATGAGAACTGGCTCTTAAAAGTTGCCCCTTGACCTCACCTGCCTCCTGTGGCATTTGTGCACCTGCGCTCACACCACATCATCTATACATACAATAATAACAAATACAATGATAAAGTGAAATGTTTTAAAATGTCAAAACAAAGAAGCATATATTAATTATTTTTAGTTAGGAGCCAGTTCTTTTAGAAAATTAAGTTAATATAAGGACACGTTTATGCAGTATACTGCTTAATGATAGTGGTAGTTCTGATAAATCCATCATCAGATAATTTTTGTGATTTTAAACTCACAGTATACATAACACAGATGACTGTGATGTTACTAGACAATATCATACATGCTGTCCATGAAATACTGTTCTGCAGCACGTGACTGTACAGACATTAGTCTTCCCCGTGACTTCTGCTTGGTTTATTTATCAGGAGATGTTGTTCTCAAACAAAATAAGATTATTTTTCTGTATCCCACCCCTGAAGGTTTTCTTATTCTATGAGTGCTCAAGAAGGCTGTGTAGAATAGGAAGTTTTTGTAGAATGTGGTTGCATTTGAAATGTGCAGGTACTTACAACTCTGAAGTGACATAAGCTCACACATAGTAGTTCTCTCTTAGCCGTGTCTTGTTAGCACCCTAGTGTTTATAGACCTGTGAGAGAAAACTCATGTGGGCAAATGTCTACTTTGATGCTGCAGTAAGTCTCGTTGTTACTAAGTGGGGTCTCTTGAGTGCTAGCTAACCCGGGTTCTCTGATGAAGGGTCTGAGTCTTCTTTTTCTTCCTACTTAGAAAGTCTTGAGAATCTTTGTTTTCCTGTTTCTGGCATCTGGGAGTCATTCTACATTACTACAATTGAGATTGCAAGCAGGTTACCATCCATCCAGAGAGTTGCGGAATGTAGTTTTATTTGGCATCACTGTTTAGATGATAATTGTGGGTTACAGTAACCAGAGCAACTTTTTACTTTTATGTAACTCTGTGTGTCTGCTTTTTCCTATTTCAGAGATACAGCATTCCTCACCTGGACTCTAAAATAGACCAACCAACCCTGTTTCTCTATTAGTGTTCATTTTTCCCCATCTGTTCTTCACAGTACATGTAGAGTAAGTATGTAAGAGGAAACATGCAGGGCCCAGCAGTTAAAAGCAGGAGCTGTGTTTCCAGAGGACTTTTGTTTCTATTCCCAACATCCACATGGAGGCTTACAACCATCTATATATAATTCTAGTCCCAAGGGATCCAATTCTCATGGCTTCCTTGGACACCAGGCACACATGTGGTAAAGAGACATACATGCAGGCAAAACACTCATATGCATAAAATAAAAGTAAATAAATCTCAAGTATAAAAATATGATGGTTGCAGTTCTCCAAGGGATGTATGACCTGGCCCCAATTCTAGTTATATTTTGAGTCATTTACTTATGGCTGTTACTTATTCCCAAATGCCTGCTTTTGTCCACAGCATCCTTTGAATCTGTTCAAAATATCACCCCCTTTTCTGCTTAGGATCTTCAACTGTGCAGGTGTTGCTCCCATGCCCAGAACACTATTCTCTAGGAAATATTCTTCACCATCTTCACAACCTGGTTACCACCTAATCATCCTCAAAGCTCAGGTCAGAAGGTTTTTTCCAGAAGGTTTTCTTGACCTTCCCAGACCTGTACTGTCACAGAGACTGCTATGGCCCCTAAACACACCTAGGAACACAGCTCTCACCACAGTTTCAAGATGTAGTATCTTTAGTGTCTCCATGGATAGACCCCCTCTATTAGGACTGCTCTGCTTACCATGATCTCACCCAAATCAAAGCCTATGTGGCCTGGATGTACTGATTTTTTTTTTTATAGAGTTCTAGCTCATATTTCCCAGATATTGTCGGAAACAGCATCTTTTTCCTGTTGTTGTTGTTGTTTGTTTTTGTTTTTGAAACATGTAGATTTGTTCTAAATCTGTTTGGTACATGGTATGTAGTGGGCTTTTTTGCAGTTTCTTTAGTGAGCTGAGATAGCAATGTCCAGATATGGAACTTGGCCTGTATTAACATACCTGTAAGGTAAGGTGAAGTATTTGGTAAAACTATATCTGTATGAACAAGTCAGATATAAATGAAAACTTTCTGGATACTTTTGAAATGAAAAGCCACAATCCTTAGTGACTCAGTAGGACTGTTTGCTAAATGAAGCGGGAAAGGAGCTAGCAAAGACTCTTTAAGTACTGTGTAGGGGCTCATCTGTAAACTTACTACTGTAACTAACTTCCTGTTAAGCTAACTCAGTACCCAAAAGCACACAAGTAACATTTCCCCCAAAGCTGCCTCTGTGTGATGACATTAGTAAGGAGGCAAGTTATTTGTATCCAATACAGTGACAGTGACTCCATTGCTACTTTTTAATTTATTTTTTAATTTTTATTCTAATTTTAATTAAAAAAAATTTTTATTTGTAATGTGTGTGAGACACACACACAGCCTACACACTAAGGTAAGGTGTACAGGTAGATGTCAGACTCTTTGGAGTCTGTTCTTTCACCACATAGGTCCCAGGAATCAAACTCAAATTATCAAATTTGGAGTCAAGCACCTTTACCCAGTTGAGCCACTTCACCAGCCTCATTATTACTAATTTTTGCCTTGTTGTAAGGAATGGATATATTGTGTATTTACAGTTGAATCTTTTTGTGAGTGCTTAGAATATTGCCAAAGGGAACACAAAAATGTGAAGTAAATCTATCTTCCCCCAAAACCTTTGAAGTCAGAAATTACAGTTAAAACACAACAAAATATTAGTGTTTGTACAAATGTCCAAGATAAATTTCAGCAGTACCAGCAGGTGACAAAACTCTTGACAGTTTCGTGCTGTGTGGTCGAGTGATATTTAGGGATCCATTTATAGGACAGCAGTCTGCAGAATACCTAAGGAGGGGTTTCTAATCATCACTTAAATGGAAGGACTTGATTCTTAACAAAAATTAAGTCTGAACTGAAGACACATATTTCGTAGTGTTCACTGTATAAAAGTTACAAAGATGTCAAAAATGCTAAGGAAATTTGTTACAGTGCTATAGAATCATGCATTAAAAACTTCTTGTCATTGTTCATAGACAAGGATATATTTATAATGTTCAAATGTGTAGGACTCTGGGATTAGATTGCTGTGGTTTTTTAGGCTTATTTTAAACTTATTTTAGCAAACCTGTTGGGAGACATTGTTTATGATACAATCAACTTTAATTGATTTAAGATTTTTGAACATGGCTTACACAGGTGATTTTGTGTAGTTCAAGACATGTAGACTAAAAGCTAATCCATATTTGTGCCAGAATAAGAATGAACACATTACTATGTTCTCTCTTGAGGCCCTTTTATTATATTGTTTGCTTGTTGGGCTTGGGGTTTTTTGTTTGTTTGGTTGGTTGGTTGGTTTGGTTTGGTTTTTTGAGACAATCTCTTGCTACAAAGCCTAGGCCAGTGTGGCCTCAAACTTGAGATCTTTATTCCTCTGCTCCATTCCCCAAGTACAGATATCTCCACTATGCCTGCCTGGTATTCATACAGTGCTCTATCCCATGTAAAATGATGGGTTTGAAGTTAGGCAAGTCTGGGCCATAACAAACATTACCTTGATCAAATTTATGTACTATTCTGAGATTAGATATTAATTTCTAAAGTATGTGTAACAACACAACCTTACAGGTCGTTATGAAGGTTAAACAAGTTTAATATGCAGAATAGTTTCAAACCCACTCACTGCTACCACAAAAATGTGTTTCTCAGAGTGGCATTATGTTCATTCCTCTTTACTCAGAATCTGGTTATATTCTTCTTCCCTTATGACTTAGTTTATGAAATCATAATGCTATTTTGAAATACCATTTTTAGTACAAATATGAGGAAATAAGTTAACAGAAAAGATTAGTAATCTGAAATCATTTCTTTTTGGAGGGTTTTGGATTTCTGATGACTTTACTAAGTAGCTCATTCTGATCTTACCAAACAGAATCATTTTGTGTTCATTTGTCCTTCCCACCCCATCTTATAGGAAGCACTTTGGATCCTTGCCTTCAGTATTTAAGTAGCTCCTTAATCATGCACCTTTATTTTTGTGGATTGCTGAAGTCTTAAAGGAAAGAGCTAGTCATGGGAATTCTATAGATCAATATTTCCTTCCTATGTTGTGTTTAAGTCAATAGAAAGTCTTTATTAGCTGGCTGGTGACTAAACTAAGTATTCAGCATCCCAGTGTAGCACTGAGTCCCTTTCACAGTGAGCTTTTAAGCACAGAAACCATGTTCTGGGTTGACATACTTCAGTTAACCTGAACAGTTAGCAGAAGCAAAACTTCAGAAGCCAAAATGCAAGGTTTGAGACTTTCCTAGAACTATATGTACTTAGATGCATTAGGCCTTTGTTTTAGTTTTGACAGGTGATACTGTCTACATGCTGAGTTTTACACTCTGAATGTACTTCCATCATGTTGTGCTAAGGTTGTCAGTTGTGCCAAGGTAGATTATCCATGTCTCTTAACTCATATTAGTTAGAAAAACATGTGGTCTCATCACCATCAATAGTTTGTAATTCACACTTGTCTGGCAAGGATCTTCTTTGCCTTTTAGTTCCTGTCCAGCATCTCCCTTAGGAGATTTTTACTTTCTGCCTCCTGCTGAGTCAATGGTCAAAGACTGTGGTGATCAGTAGGACACTTTATTTCTGCCCTGAATGAAATCTCACAATATTTAAAACTATAATAGTTGTGGCATACTATTTCTTTTTTCTGTTATGGTCTGGATTTAATATTCATTTTTCCTTCTTTTGTGTGTGTGTGTCTGTGTATCTGTGTGTCTGTGTCCATGTCCCAGGTGGAACTCATTCTGTAGATCAGGCTGGCCTCTTAGTCAGATCTGTGTACTTATGCCCGTGTGTGTCTGTGTGTCTGTCTGTCGGTCTGTTGGGTATTGATATTGGGTATATTGATATTGGGTATATTTTGTGTTTTTGAGACAGGATCTACACTGGCCTCAAACTCAAAAATCCTCCTGTGTCTGCCTTCCAGGTGTTGGGATTACAAGTGTGTACTGCCATACCTAGCTGAACTTTGCTTCTATTGCAGATTCTTCAGCATGATTAGGAAGAGAATTGTGAAGCCTGATAGGTGATGCATGGTAACATGCCTACCCTGGGCAATAATTGAGTCATAGCTACTGATTTAGTGTTCAGGAGGCAAGATAGAAGCAGCTAATTCATACCTTCGTGAAATTAGCTTCCTTCAGGAAATGGCATTGCTGGGGCAAGGAGTGTCATTAGGAGTGCTCTGTCAGTATGTGTATGTTGAAGGAACACTGCAGATCAAATTTGCTCGACATTTGGGTAATGCCAGTTCATGCTTCTTTCATTTCATTCTTTTGTGTTGTTATATTTTCAGACTTTTTGAAAAGACCTCTAGAGAGTTATGTGAAAAAACTCAAAGTGCCAGTTCATGTAATTCGAATGGAACAACGTTCTGGGTTGATCAGAGCTAGATTAAAAGGAGCTGCTGTGTCCAAAGGCCAAGTGATCACCTTCTTAGATGCTCACTGTGAGTGTACAACAGGGTGGCTGGAACCTCTCTTAGCCCGGATTAAACATGACAGGTAATTTTCTGGAATTTGTGAATTTGTTCTTTGCACTTAATCTTAAACTCTGTGCAACAGTGAAAAATTCTTTTTTTAAATAAACACAAAAGTAGCATCCTTTCAAGTTGCCTTTAAATGCCTTCAAGAATGTTCCAAACAAAACACAAACAAGACTACATTTCTAAAGTCTGGCAGTTAACAAATTAACAAAGTACCCAAATGGAGATGAATTAGGCAACATGTTGGAGAATAATTATTCTGTGATCTGTTGACCAAATAGGACCAGAACACGTAGGGAAAGTTTGCTTGCCCCTGCTTTCAAAGGCAACCCCTGGGCAGGCATATTATCTCATTTTTGTTGACATCCTTTCAGGGACCATAGCTTTCATCTTGTAGCATAAGCTGAAGAGAGGCCCATTGTGTCCTGAAATACTCCGGTGTATGGAATAATCCTGAAATCCTGCTAATACAGAATGAGTGTTGCTGTAGTGCATCTATGGCTGTCACTTTTCACGTTCCGTACTTTTCAAAGAATTGTCTGGCTCTGTCTTGGTTTAGTGTCGTAAAAGAAGTCATGTCAGTTTGCTTGTCCTGTATTAGTTGAATTTCTGTTTGCCATAGCAGTTTGACCTTGAAGCTGTGTACATCAACTTTAAGGTTAACTTTAAAGTTAACATTAACTTTATAAAGTAGACTTTCACTAGCAGAGAATGGAGAGGATAAGGCCACTTCACTTATCCTGTTTGTTAACAAATTGTGGCACTACAGCTGTCTGTTCTCAGAGAAAAAACAAACCAGCATTGGACCAGCTGACCCCTAACAGTTTAACAAAGAGACTACTGCCTTGAAGAATCAAAAGAATAGAATATCTCTTTAAATATTTTTCTGTAAGTAAAAAGAAATGGTGTAGGAAATACTTGCATAAAGATAATGCCATAAACTTTAGAAACATGATCCTGGACCCATATAGAGAAGGTAGTGTGTAATGTAGAGGAAAGAATTGATTAAAACAACAACCAAAATAACTTACAGTTTGGGCTGTGTGGTAGATTATATATCCTAAATAGTTTCCAACTAATAAAGTACTGGATACTGAATAAGTACAAAAACAGCCTTTTTAAAAATTATTTATTACAATTTATTCACTTAGTATTCCATCCGTAGCCCCCTCCCTTATCTCTTCCCAGTCCCACCCTCCTTTCTTCTACTGCTATGCCCCTCCACTAGTCCACTGATAAGGAAGGACCTCCTCCCATTCCATCTGACCCTGGCCTATCAGGTCTCATCAAGGCTGGCTGCATCATCTTCCTCTGTGGCCTGGCAAAGCTGGACCCCCAAGAGGAGGTAATCAAAGAGTCAGCCACTGAGTTCATGTCAGAGACAGTCCCTGTTCCCCTTACTAGGGAACCCACTTGGAAACTGTAGACTATGGGCTTCATTTGAACAGGGGTTCTAGGTTATCTCCATGCATGGTCCTTGGTTGGAGTATTGGTCTCTGCAGGTCCCCCTGAGCCCAGGTTCAAAAACAGATTTTTCAGAATGCAATGTTCAGTTGACACAATAGAAAAAAAAAAATGCAAGTCACAAAGTGAGAGAAAAAAGACTGTTCAATTAAGCTATCTAGTATTTGTGCTGTCTGTGATGAATTCTGGGGTTCTATTTGTTCGTTGGTAAATTTACAAGTTGAGAGTAACAGGAGCAAAGCCTAGGCCCTACTCATTCTGAGGCATGCTATTAATCTTAATAGCAAATACCTGTGGAAAAAGCTGGGGTGCTGAAATCTATACCTAGTGAGGATGAGAACTGGATCACACACATCAGAGGAAACCTTGCTGTTTCACCTTTGGTGTGGATGAGGGGGCAGCTCCCACCAAAATGTTTAAGCAGAATATAGAAAAAGTAGGAAGGGAACTATTTTTAATGAGGCTAGAATAAGTTTAATTAAAAAAACAATGAAAACTTATGATTTAATTTGAAATTGTGTGTGTGTGTGTTTGTGTGTGTTTTCAGAGGATAATTTGCAGGAGTTAGTTTTCTCCCACCATGTGAGTCCCAGTAATCAAACTCTGGTTAATATGTTTGGAAGCAAGCACTTTTAGCTACTGGGCCATCTTGCTGGCCCCAGAAAAGAACTATGAGAGAAAAGCCATGAGGCTTACGTAGAAGTCGAGGGACAATGTTTGCAAGTTGGTTTTCTTCTTCTACAATGTAGATCCTAGGAATTAAACTCATTTGATCAAGTTCCTTTACTCTCTGAGCCATCTCACCAACACATGGGAAAGATTTCTTCAAACACCAATAAAATGTGATATGATACCACATTCTATAAAGTATATCTACTAAAGGCTGAATTTAGGATACCTTTTCTTCAAAAGAACTGTTAAAATTTGTGTTATTAGTTTTAAAAAAGGCCAACTGGAAAATTTATGACTATGTGATCACACAGTCTGTATGGAGAAATACAAACCTGAAAGACAAAATTCCCTTCTAGTAATTAAAATAAGTACATTTCAGCTGGTTGTAGTGGTACACACTTTTCATCCCATAACTCAGGAGGCAGAGGCAAGAGGATCTCTGTGAATTTGAGGCCAGCCTCATCTATGTAGTGAGTTCCTAAACAGCCAGAACTACATACAGAGACCTTGTTTCCAAAAACAAAAACCAAACAAGCAAACAAAAAAAATATGTAAACACAAAAATTCCCAAGCTGTTATTTATTTAATGTAATTGAATTAATAAAAATGTAAGAAGTCGACTCCAAAGTTAATAGCATTATGGTAAAACCGTAGGGAGGAATATGTATATGTAATATGATTAGAAAACAGTGACAAATGTTACCTTTAATTAAGTAGTATTACTGCTAAACAATTTCCCTGGAAGAAGATTATGTACTTGAACATAATCAGTTTCTCACTGGCAAAAAGTGAAGGATAGAAATGATAAGAGTTGTTTATAAAGAAATTTTTTGCAAAAAAAAAAAAAAAAAAATGATTGCTGTAGTCACTAAAAATTGATTTTTGAAACACTTTATAGAATTTTCCATGTGGCAGATAGTAAAGATTATGTGTAAAAGAAAAAATGCAGAAAGATAGAAGGTTCTCAGCCAACAAATTATGATACTGGTTTGGTGTAGATAATAGCAGGAAATATTTTTTACCATTGTTTTGTTGTATAGTTGTTATAGTACATAGGAACGTTTGAAGATTTTAAACTTGCTTCTATGACATCAGGAGAACAGTTGTATGTCCTATCATTGATGTGATCAGCGATGATACTTTCGAGTACATGGCAGGCTCTGACATGACCTATGGTGGATTCAACTGGAAGCTCAATTTCCGTTGGTATCCTGTTCCCCAAAGAGAAATGGACAGGAGGAAAGGTGACCGGACTCTTCCTGTCAGGTAATTTATCAGATGTTTTCTTTATAGTATGTTGCAGAGAGTTCTGACACTTATCAGTAGGGTTAGAGGTGTACGTTGATAAACACAAAGCAAATGTATACCTTGTATATAGTCAAGAATTGTAATTTACATATTTTTTTAAAAGGATTTTCCCCTCTGGTTAGATTGTTTTCATTCTGTAAATGCCTAGTACACAAGAGAAATGAAATAACATACATATATTCCTTCTTTCCTGTATGAAAAAATTTCTAAGTTAAATCTGTGCTTAAATCAAGCTACTTCTCAGTCAATTGTGTCCTTATGTTAAGGTACTAGATCAGAGTTGTGTCTTGCAGTATAACATTTTTACTAGCATATACCATCTGGATAGTAGTACTGACTAGTAAAGTTAGAAAAAGTTGTTTCATACAGTTATTTTTTTTAAATAAGTAGAATTAACAGGATATAAAGGAATTTCCATTAATGTGGTACTTTGTTTTTCTTTTTACTATGCTTTATCACATATGACTTTATTCAGGAAGGCATAAAAAGCATGCTGGTAAGGACATGACCTGAGACTTTGAGCTACCTAGACACCCTAGTATTTATCTCAGTTACATCCACCTGCAGCCTCTGTAGTAACAGCACTAGGCTTTCTTCTGTTTTATGAATTCAAATCCAATTCTGAAAAAAGTAAAGCGTTGTGTTTTTGTTTTGTTTTTTACTCATATTCTTTTCTTAAACCACCTTGAGTTCTTACCAGTACAAGGAACTATTAGTTAGGTTCAGTGTTAAATCAATGACTCTTAGCCATTTGAAAACTTTGGAAATGCAGCTTTCACTGGAAAGACAATGCTGCTGTTCTAGAGAGGCCTGGAATAGTACATGTTGATGACTTCTGGACTTGCAAGCCTTATCCTTGGATCCAAGAACTTTTGTTTTCTTCTGGTGGAGTCAGGTTTTTTTTCCTTCATAGAAATCAATGGTTAACTGAAACCACTGATACCTATTCATTTAAATCTATCTTCATTATCATATCTCTGCTTAATTCTACATACTTCTTCCTCCTCCCAACCTTGTGCATACTTGGACTTGTCTTTTGCAGAAAATATACCACAGGTGGTCAGAATGGTAGTCCCTTTAGAAGGGGTATGTTAATGTTACTCTGAATTGTATTCCCTTCTTGAAGATTTCTGTAAATCTAGAAAAGGGTCTCTCTCTCTCTCTCTCTCTCTCTCTCTCTCTCTCTCTCTTTATCTTGTTTTAATCTATCGTTTTTGCAGTGATTGCCACCCTTTAGAACTTGGCATTTTAACGCTAACCTGAGTGTAGTTGAATAAAATAGTCAACTACCTTTATACTTGCTGGGATCGTGGAGCCAAGTCCTGGTCAAATGGAGAAGATTACGTGAAGTACATTCAGTTTGAAGAATCTGAGACAGAAAATTGTTCAGTATCAAGAATCAAGAAAGGTACTGGACAGGAAGCAATGCTTAGGACTTACACTGACTGTGAGCAGAGTACAAATCATGTCTGATACAGAAAACCCTAAGGGTGTAGACATTTCTGAAGAGGGCAAGAATAAGCATTATTCTGTAGTTATAAACAGCTGTAGAACTGTAGAACTTTTAAAAACAAACACTGATTATAAATTTTAAATTATTAAAATTAATGGCATAGTATTATGATTGAATTTCAGAACACCTACAATGGCCGGAGGCCTTTTTTCAATAGACAGAGATTACTTTCAGGAAATTGGAACATATGATGCTGGAATGGATATTTGGGGAGGAGAAAACCTAGAAATTTCCTTTAGGGTAAGTTCCCTTTGACAAAAAATAAAATCTTTTTCTTAACCACAAATATGTGTTCATTGTTGTCTATATAAGAAATAAAATTTAGTGAGTTTACTGCCTCCAGAACCTTCAGCCTACAAAAAGTTTGATGACAGTATGGAAGATTTGTTAAAAACGATTTCACCAAATAGTCCAGTTATCTTTTAATAGTAAAGCTGTTATACCTATGCATAATCCTTCAGTTCTCAATTTCTTTTATTTTAAGGAAGTAATTCAAGCATCAGCAACTAAAACTATTTTTGTAATTTAAACAGGCTACTTTGGTATGTAACTGTAAAAACATAATTTCATGTTGTGTTATAAACTTGTCTGATTGAAGATTATTTTTACTAAATCTGGTTACCTTATCAGCTTTATGTTTTTCAATAAAACAGTAACAACATTTAGGGAGATGGCTCAGTTAGTAAAGTGCATGCTGTATACACATGGGAGATCTGAGTTTGATTCTTAGCTCCCATCTTAAAAAAGCTAGATGTAGATCTACTGAGATGGCCCCGTGGGTAACAACAATTGCTGCATTCTAAGTCAATCCCCTGGACCAACATGATAGCAGGAAAGAACTGACTCCCTCAATTTGGTCTCTGACGTACATGAACCAAATAAAGTAACTACTTAATTTTTTTAAGGGCTGGGCATGACAATGCATGTCGTAATTCCAGTGCTGAGGACACAGGGACAGCAGAATCCATAACTAAATCAGTAAGCTCCACTTTCAGTGAGAGATCCTATCTCTCTGAATAAATAAGGTGCAGAATGTTTTATAAACACCAGCATTAACATCTGGCCACCATACATGCATATGCATGTACCACCAAAAGGAAGAAAGGGCAAAGCAGTTCTAAGGGCACTTTTCCGTTAATTCAACCTAGTTGACCTTCATTTCATATCCACGAATATCAGCATGTTATATGATAATGTACGCTGCTAAAAAGCTTCTAACATATAATGTATTATAGCACAGACAAATTTTTAATATGCTGTAGGTAGAAGCAAAATGCTCTTGTTTTCAGAGACTCTCTTCCAGGCTTGGCCTGGGAAATCCCATCTAGCTCTAACACTGTGTAATCCTGGGAAGAACTGAAGTAGACACACTGAATATTTGACAAAGGCAAAACGTTTTCAAATGTGAGTTTTAGTTGCAAATAAGAGCATTTATGGTATAAAATTTATTTTGAGACAATTGCATTGAGTTAAGAATATAAGCTTATAATTCATTTTTCTTTTGTTCCATGTGTTTTATTGATTGAACAAATAGAACAGGACATGCTGTCTTTGTCTTATTGAAGAAATTATGGTGGGTGTCTGTTCTATGTAATGTGTCTAGTGGCTCAAGTTTAGAGAGGCAGAAATAGAAGAGAATTTAGTTGGATACTCCATGACCATGAATGTGTGTGTAGTTGAGTGTTAAACATAAGCCACATCAAACATTATATACCCAAAACAAACGTAATAATATTGGATATTCCTGAAATAACGTGCCCTTGTTGACAGGGTTGGTTGTGCTTCTGCAGTTTGTATTTATGATGCTGTGTGTCCTCATCTGCATTTAGATAGTTGCTACTGCGCATCTGATTCTTCTATGTATTTAATTTTAACCTCTCTGTTCTCTATTTTAATCTGATTTTGACCAAAATTTTGAAAAACATTTGATTTTAGGGCAGTATTGGCTATATATCAGAGCAGGATCTCTGAGCTCTGAACTGTTGTTTCTTTTTTTGAGACAGTCTCACTGCATAGCACTGGGTAGCTTGGAACTCACTATGTAGACAAGGCTGGCCTTAACTCACGGAGATCTGTTGCCTCACTTTCCCAAATGCTGGGATTTAAGGCATAAACCACCGTAGCCAGGCTTGTGCTCTGAATTTTAAGTTACATGTCCAACACAGTCTACTTTCATTCAGATTTGGTACTTTTTGGACACATTTTGGGAAAAATTTACCAGTAACTACAGATTTTCCATTCAAGGTTATAAATAAAAGCCAAAGCCCTGTTCAGTAAAAAAAAAAAAAAAAAGAAAAATACCACACGAATACTACAGGAACCTGTGGTAGGTAGTTACCGAGCTGCATCCTGCCCTTTTCAGATTTGGCAGTGTGGAGGAACTTTGGAAATTGTGACTTGCTCCCACGTTGGTCATGTGTTTCGGAAAGCTACACCTTACACATTTCCAGGAGGGACAGGGCAGATTATCAATAAGAATAACAGACGGCTTGCAGAAGTATGGATGGATGAATTCAAGAATTTCTTCTATATAATTTCTCCAGGTTAGTGTATTTTGTGTGATACACACAAGATCATGCCTTTCTCTGTGTGTGTGTGTGTGTGTGTGTGTGTGTGTGTGTGTGTGTGTGTGTATTTTAATCTGAGGGGGTTGGCACTTAATGTCATAGCCTGTGTGTGAAGTCTAAATTCAACTTGAGGGAGTTGATTCTCTTTCTGCCTTATGGGTGCCAGAGATTCAACTCAGGTTCTTAGAATTTGGTAGCAAGAATCTTTATCCACTGAACTACCTCACTGAGCCAAGATTGTTGTGTCTTTCCTGTCCCTGATTCTAAGGGGAAGTAAGGAGGGTTGGAAGCAAAGATTTGGTAAGGTCTTTTTAAGGCATGATAAAAATCATAGTACAGAAAATGTTTGGTATAGTATGCCTGAGATATTTTCAGCAGTAATACTAAATATCTTGATCAGTTTTGCTGACCTAGAGTTGCACATGTGTGTCTCTGTCTGTCTCTCTCTCTTCTTTTTACCTCACTGTAGCATTTGACATTTATTTCTTTGAACAATCATCTTGTTAATTTTCAGCCATTTTTCTCAATTACAAAGCACTTTCTTTGGAGATTTTTTTTTTATCCAACTTAAAAATACTAGTATTTATATGTGTTTGTATATATATAATATGCATACATAAATACATATATATATACATACAATGTATATATATACATACACACATACATGAGACAGTCTCTCATGTATCCCAGGATAGCCTCGAACTCACTGTGTAGTCAGGGATGTTTTTGAACATTCTGTCTCCATCTCCCAAGTGCTGTGATTCAGGGCCTGCATGACCATACCTGTTATATGTGATGCCAGGGACTGAACCCAGAGCTTTGTGTATACTAGAAAAGCACTCCCAACTGAGCCATCACATGCCCAATAAAACAGTACCACCTCCAAGCAAGTTATGAGCATTCTTCATAAGCAGGCCCTGGGTGCTGCTGTATAAGACTTTATGAAACCATCTCACGTCACAAAACCAGTGCAGAGCCTATAGCATTCCTCAAGAGACTTAATCCAACAATTTTACTCTGTTAATCAGCCTTTTGTGTGTCTTATTTTTTCCTCTATCTGAAATTATTACTAATCTGCCTAGGTTATTCAGTTATAATACTTTAATACTCAGTGGGTAAACACAAATAAAGCTGACTGGAAGTAATTGTACTGTTTAATAGTTGCACCAAATAGATCTTAATTTTTAAATTTTTTACCTTATTGCGCATTAAAAATTTTGATCCCTATATAGCTTAATGTTTAATGTAAGTATGTGTTACGTTCTCACGTCAATTTAAGTTTTCTTTGAATAAAACACTTGCTTTATCCTTGTTTTCTGCTCTGGGAAGTGGGTCTATAGCATATCACTTGTAGTGTCATACATCACCTAATAAGTCCCCATTTTTCATTCAGCTGCTTTGTGAGAATAAGTATGTAAGTAAACGTGTTACCAAATAGAACTCTAATATTAATCAATTATTTCTTTTAACAGGTGTTACAAAGGTAGATTATGGAGATATATCATCAAGACTTGGTCTGAGACATAAACTACAATGCAAACCTTTCTCTTGGTACCTAGAAAATATTTACCCTGATTCTCAAATTCCACGTCACTATTTCTCATTGGGAGAGGTAAAAACAAATATATGTGTATATACACAATATATATCTTTAAGAAGTTAAAGGTTTTAACTTTAAGGTTCTTTTATTTGTTTGTTTGCGCTTTTTGTTGTTGTTGTTTTCAAGACAAGGTTTTTCTGTGTAGCCCTGGGTGTCCTGGAACTCACTCTGTAGACCAGACTGGCCTCAAACTCACAGAGATCCACCAGCCTCCTAAGTGCTGGGATCAAAGGCAAGTGTGTGCACTACCACTGTGTAGCAGACCTCTAAGGTTCTGAAAGCATATTTGTTAATAAAAACTATCTAGCCTCAAGTAAGGGTAAGTCCTTTTAATTAACAGTCTGCCTCATAATGTGAGATCTGGATAAATTTTTGGCTCCACCATCCCCACCCCTCCTAGCACTAGGAAGTGAAACCCAGAACTTCCACAGTGCTAAGCAGGTGCTTTACCATTGAGCCACTTCCTCAGCAAAATCTTAATACATTTGTATCACATTATGTTGTATTAAGATGCGAATGCTTGGGGCTGGAGAAATTGCTCAGCAGTGAAGGGCACTGTTGCTCTTACGGGAGACTGGGGTTTGGTTCACAGTGCTCACATGGTGACTTGGAGCCATCTGTGTGTAACTCTAGTTACAGGAAATCCAGTGCCCTCTTCTGGACCCTAAGGGACCCAGGCGTACACATGGTACACATACATACATGCAGTAAAACACACATACACATACATTAAAATAAATATTTAAAAAATTTACCAAGAACACTTTTGTTACAAAGTGGTAGTGTCTTCAGTGGACTTATTTTAACAAGCTAAGCCATTTACTTGAAACCTGTATTTTTAGAGCCAATATCCTTGGGTTACTCCAGATCAAAGTCTGAGAAATTCCAGTGAAGATAACTTGACAAGGAGGGTTGAAATACTGTACTACACATAAGTTTATTTTCTTTTGGGAATTTTAAGTTTCACAGTTTAGGGAAGTGGGGAAAATGCTGAAAAAACCTGTTTGTCTGTGGTGATTCACGAAGTTGCTTCTCTTACGATTCAGCATTATTTTTCTTCAAGTAATTGGCTTGTTAATGCTTATAAATAAGACAAATTTGCAGATTAGTTGTCCTTTTTATCTTAATGCCTGCCTGTACTAAGGGATCTAGTATGAAAAATGCCTGCAAACTTTGACAGTATACAGTTTTTTTGTTTCCTGTTTATTGAATGTCAATTAGCTATCAGTTCTGGCTCCTAGCTAAACCTCTGTTCTGTGTTTAAGAATTTAGATTGGAGCAAGGCATGGTAACACAAGCCTTTAATCTGAGCACTGGGAGGCAGAGGCAGGTGGGTCTCTTTAAGTTTGAGCGTTATAATAGAGAGCCCCTCAAAAAAAATTACTCTTTCTCAGAGTAGACATCTGGTCTTTTTAAATCATTGTTGTTTAAAAATTCAGCCTCTAACTCAGAATTCTCCTAGAAACCTGAATTATTCCTTCTCTTTGAAGAAAACCATCTCCCACATAGCTTTAGTAATTCTTTTTTCCTCCCTTCATCCTAAGAAAGGAGCCATTTCTTTTTATTCAAATTTACTCTCATCTGTTGACTTCTTCTTAGTGGAAGTCATATCTTTTGTTTCCACGGTCACCTTCGAATTCTTGTGTGCATCACTTAAATGAGTACTTTACCACTTGGAACTTGACTACTCCCATCCCAAGTTTTTGAAGCAAAAGCATTGTACTAGTCCTTTACTAGAGCAGAATACGCCAGCCTGTCAACCAGGTATCCTTTCCAAGTAATATCCTAACTCCCCAAAATCCTATTTGTGAGCTCAAGGCAATAATTTTCAACAGCCTAGTATAGATGTAGCATTAGTTTAGCTGTTTATAATAATAATCTAGGAACAAATGTATGAAAGTATTCATTAAAGTACTGTATGCGGCATAGGCCCCCTTGACATCCTTTTGGGGATTCTAATCATTGGGTTTACGGAAAGGTTTTAGGAAGGGCAGTCTTTCAGGAACATAGGCATATTGACTGGGTCTGCAGGAATAGGACACCATAGGGTAAATCGACCCTGTTTTTATGTCTGTGTTTCCTTCCTGCCTTGGGTCACTTTTACACTAGGGCTGAGCAGTTGTCCTAGATAGCAGATTGCTCACAAACTGAGAATCCTCTGGCTGCTGGGGTATGCAGTTACAAGCAATCGTTGGTGTACTCTTTATCCTCACCTGTTGTTTCAGTGAGTCTTTGCTTGCTTGAGCCTTCTTTATTGAAGCATTTTCCTCCAGTTGGTAAAGTTTAACTTGTTTTACTTATTTCTTTTTTACTTGTTAGTGTAAAAATATGCTTTTTCCTTCTCCTCTTCCAAAAAAATTCCATTTTTATTGTGTGGATAGACCCAGAAGTATGACTGTGCTGCCTGTTCTTCTTGCCTTTCTCCCACTGTTCCACTGTAGCAGTTAGGCCACCTGCAGTTTGCTGCATCTTTATGCACTTTGAATTACAAAACTAACAGAAAAAATTACAAAGCCAAGTAGAGGGGGAAATCCAGCTGTTTGGTGACAGAAGTCAACAGGACAGATTTCTTTTTGTAAGCCATAATTGCACATGAGGCTATGTGTCGAGGACCACGACCATATCTTTGTCTTCAGTCTCCCTGAAACACGGGGTGTATAGCCCCAACTCTGTAGGAGGTTCATTTCTTTCACTGATTTATATTCATTCAGCAACTGTTTAGGTACCTACATGGCATAAAATAGTGAAAATTCCACTCTTGTTGATCTTACAATCTACTATAAAAATGAAAAATATACAGTATGTCAGATAGTGACAAGAGCAGATAGAGGATTTCTGAGGAGCATGAAAATCATGCTGTTTTACATAGAGTACTTGCGGAAGGTACCCCTAAGATAATTTATGGGCAGAAACCTGAAGAACATGAATAATTAAGACATATACATTGCTGAGGTAAAAGTTTCAGAGCAAGGTCAGCATGAGTACAAAGGTTCCTAAGATTAGTGTGTACTTGGCATATTTGAGAAATAAGGAGGTCACTTGTCTAAGAAAAGAACAAGTAGACGGCTAATTAAAAACTAAGGACGAAACCATAATGAGGGGGATCTGGAGAGATGTCTAAATAAGCAGACCATTTGCTTCACAAACACGAGGACCTGAATTCAAATCCCAAGAACCCATGTAAGGCTGAACACATGTGTTTCTGTAATCCCAGTACTCCTGTGGTAAGATAGGCAGACACAAGAATCCCTGAAAATTCCAGGGTCAGTTAGCCAGTTAGCTTATACAGTACCAAATAGCAAAGAGAAGAGAAAGACGCCATTTCAAAAGGAATACTGACACCCAAGGTTGTCACTCATACACATACGTATATACATTGTTACACAAAAACCATGTAGAGGATCAAATGGTAGAGGACCCAGCCATAGGCAACTGGCACAGTTTGGGAGGCATGCATATTTCTAATCCTAGTGCTTGGGAGGGCAGAGGCAGCATTGTGAGTTTGAGTCCGGCGTGATCTACATAGTGAGTGCCAAAGCTACATAAGAAGACCCTGTTTCAAACATCAAAACCGTTAAGTTAAAAGGAGAGCCAGGAAAAAGGTGTCTGAGGGACTTAAGTGAAAGACTGTTCAGCTGTGTTGACAGCTGTAGAGACGATGGATAATGTGAGTATGGAGAATTGGTCATAGAAATAGTGTTAGTTCCTTCTGTGTCAGTACTGAGAGAGTATTAGGGACTCTGGTACTTTCAAGAGAGTGAGAGATCCTGCTTATGTATCCTGATTATGTATCAGTCTTGCAAGGCAAGGCATTTTGCTATAAAATAATGCAGAGAAGTGGAGGATAGCTAGAGGAGAAATGGGAAAAGGGAGATGATTTATTTATTTTTATGAAAGTATAACAGTGTGCTGAGTTTTTCCCAGTCACTTTTTGGGGTCTGGTGCCTTAGTTGTACCAGGATTCTTCAAAGCTTTATTATGAATGTCTTGGTCTCCTTGAAATCATGCAATGCCCAGGAAATTTCTGCAAGAATGGGGTTAGATGACCTTTATCATTTATAAAACCAAGAAGTGATGCTAAAAGAAGTAAAGCTTTGGCAGAGAGTCAACTCCGTGATTAAAGCACTTACTGTCCTTGCAGAGGCCTAGGTTTGATTGCTAGCAGCCACATGGTGGCTCATACCATCTGTGACTCTTGTCCCAGTGGATCTGGTGGGGTCTTCTGATTTTCATGGCATCAGGCACACACCTTGTGCACACACATTCAAGACAGATCTTTAAAAAATAAAATACAGCTTTGAGAGGCTCAAGTCTTGTAATTGTCTGCCAGCCTATAAACCTAAGCAAGGTATGTTAGGTGGGAACATGAAGTCTTGCTCTACACTGAGTACTGTTTATAATGCACTATCAATAACTATTTATGAGATGCACCTCTACCAGTGGGTACTATTTTGTGTGTCTCCTGAAGAGGTTCTTTGTAATACAATAGGCTCTGTCAGAACCTTACTGGGGTGCCTCCATAGGAAGTCTGAAGAATGATGAACCCAGTCTTTGTAAGACTTGGTGGTCATGATAATATTCAGACTTAAATTCCAGTATTTAAGTGGGCTTGCTACTTTAAAGAGAAAGAAGAAAAGAAGCCTGTGCTGATGAGAATGACCTAAAAGAGAAAATTTGACCAAGCCAGCTTCCCACCCCTTAAGAAAATTTCTGTCAAAAAAAAAAAAAAATGACAGCAAGTATAGGCAAGGATGTGGGAAAATGAGGGCCTGTGTGCACTGTTAGTGGGACTCTAGAATGGAACAAGTGCTTTGGAAAATAATATGCAGTTCTTCAGAAAGTTAGCCCTGTATGACTGGGATCTGACTCAGTGCTAGTGCTCTTGATTACCACTAGAAAACATGGCTGTCGTGTGCTGTGGTCACCTGACCTCCAGGTGTGCAGGATCTTAGGGGAGATACATGTTTGTGGCAGCAACAGTGGCAGAGTCTTAAGTAGCAGAGGCCCCAGACAGATGAATGGTAAGCAGAAAGTTGCCATGTACATGCAGTGGGAAATTATTCAACCTTTAAAAGGACGGACATGCTGGCATGTATTACCTCATAATGAACTTTGAAGATATTTTGCTTAGGTGATGTAGGCTGGTGACAAAAATAATGTATAAATCCATTTCTATGAAGTACTACAATAGTTGTGTGCATGGAAACAAAGTAGTAGCCACCTGAGACTAATGGAGGTGGAAAAGATGGCTTGTTTAGTGGTTAAAGTAGTTAAGGTTTGTAAGCTGCAAATTTTTAGAGATGTGCTTCACCACCGTGTGAATGTGCTTAATCCTTTTGAGCTATATACTTGAAACTGGCTGTGGTGGTATACTTTATGTTACATGAAAGAGCCAGTGTAGGCATCATGTATTTAACTGGATAGGAGATGGGAGCCAGCACAAATGTGGGGGTTAATGTAAAGGATGGAAATAGGCACTTCATGCCTTAGGACAGAATAGAAAGGAGAGATAAGGTCGCATGAGAGTGGTAGTTTTCATGGATGCCTGAGAAGTTCTCTTGTAATGACTTCAGGTGAATACAGATTCTTGATTGAGTAAGGCAGGGGCTGTTGATGGTAAAGGCTTGGGGAAAGAGGGCCAACAGAAATGTAGGTTGTAGGTGAGCAGAGGGGAAGTTTGATGCTAGTGAATAAAACCATGATGTGCCCTCCCCACCTTTCCTATACATTCAGCGGAGAAAATCTAGGTTGAATGACATACCTCTCAAGTATTTAGAGTAGCTACTCCTTCAGACTGGGGAATGAAAGGTTTCTTTGAACTGACCCAATTTTGGACAATGCCTAAGCATTGTTGGCTGGGCTGGAATTTGGGCAAATTAAAAGGTGATACGCGTCCACCCCATGCTAGATGGTTATCAAGGCAAAGTGGCCACTTACCTGCTAGCCTGCTAGCTTGCTAAGTGGCATAGACTTTACATGTGGTCTTCTTGACATTGCCTCAGAAACGCAGCCTGTGGTCCTTTTGTACCAGGTCACATCCAGATGAAAAGTCTCATTTCTGGGACAAGATTGTTAGGATGTTTGTCGTCAGCCAAGTCCGCCTTCCAAGACATGCACTGTAGGATTTGGAACCAAATAAATGTCTCATCATACTAGCTAATAATTGTTACATTTGAGTATTGTAAGCAACCAAAGAGATGCAACCTCAGACATTGCCTGATTAGCTAATATGGCAGAGCAGTCACTGATTCAGGCTGTTCTAATGGTTCTAACATTGACTTAGCCCCTACTTTTTCTTAAGCAACAGTCTCAGTACCTTACCTGAGTGCCTTACTTGAACGTATTCTGATGTTCCTCTGCCGATGACTCAGTTAAATGGCTTTTGTGGAATGGATATCTATCTAATGGGAAAGTGAAATTTGTGTTACCTTGTTGGCTGCTTCTACACAAGCCAGTTTCCAAAGCTCTTTTGACCAGAAAAATGTCTATTGGAGTCTCCTGAGATATCATCAGAGGGATTGTCAGAAGTAATATCTATGTCCTTGAGGAGTTATTAGATTGCTTTAAGTTATTATTCAAAGTACAGGCTTTTTGAACTAAGTATAAACTCTAAAGGAACAGTGAAAGAATGAAAGAATTAAGAACAAGTTAGAAAAGTTTTAATGTAAAATTTAAAAACCCTTCATATGTAAGCACTGTGTTTGCATCATTTCCACCATTCTTTCTCCCCCAAACTCCTCCTGTGTCCCTCCACCTATCTCAAATTATAAACCCCTTCCTCTTTAATTATTACATACATATACATAAGTCCACAAATACACACACATACCCTACTTAAGTCCATTTAGTGTTGCTCATATATACATGTGTTTAAGACTGGATAACCTATCAAGGGCTTGACCCTGGAGAAAACTGATTTTCCCTTTCTAATAGCCATTAATTGCCTATAGCTCTTCATCTAGAAGTGGGACCTTGTAAGATTTCCCCCATCTTCATTGGCATATCAACCGGTATTGTCATTATGCAGGTCATATTTAGCCGACCTTATTGTTGAGATTTTATTGGTGCAACTTCCCTGTCATATAGAAGATCTATCTTGAAGTAGAAACCCTGGTTCTCTGGTATTACAGTCTTTCTGCTCCTTTCATTATGTTCTCTGAGCCGTTGTTGTAGGGGTTATGTTATATCAATAGGGGCTGACCATCCTAGTCTGTTTTTGGTATTTAGACCAATTGTGGCTTTATGTAAGTCTCCATCTGGTTCATAAAGAAGCTTCTTTAATGGGGGCTGGGATCTACCCAGATAAGTATTTGGAATGTAGTTAGAAATTGTACTGGTTCAGAAAAGTGGCAGTCGTAGGTTCTCATCTAGGGCTCATGACTTCCCCAGTTACATGTGAATGGGTCAGTCTTTTTACTGTACCAAGCAGCTGTTATTTACACCCAAGATACAAGTGCCACTAAAGAAATAATCAAGGATTGACTTTTAGTGTATCTGTATGTAGCTCTCCTCTAGTTAAGCTCCAGCATCCTAATTCCTGATGTCTTCATTGTTCCACAGATACGAAATGTGGAAACAAATCAATGTCTAGATAACATGGCTAGAAAAGAGAACGAAAAGGTTGGAATTTTCAATTGTCATGGTATGGGAGGTAATCAGGTGAGTCTCTTATTTAAACTTTTAAAAGAGATAGTTTTCATTTGGCTTACTTTGCTCATTTAATCCTATAACATTACTCAGGAAACATTTTTATATCTTTAAAGAAAAATTAGTAAAGAGTATTAGGTGATGGGTGCTTTCAATCTAATGATTGATATATATTTTATTTTGTAGATAGGTCTCACTGTGTAGCCTTGGCTAGCTTACAACTTGCAACGTAGACTAGGATGGACTTGAACTCAAGAGAGCTACCTGCCTCTTCTAATGATGTGTGGTACCCTGCCCCCAAGACAGGGTTTCTATGTGTAGCTCTGGTTGTCCTAGAACTCGCTAATTTTTTGTTGTTGTTAATTTTTATTTATTTATTTATTTTTACAATTTATTCATTTTTATATCCCAATTGTAGCTCCCTCCCTCATTTCCTCTCAGTGTCACTCCCTCTTCCCCTTCTGCCCCTCCCCTAGTCCACTGAAAGGGAGAGTTCTCCTCTCCTGCCATCTGAGCCTAGTTTATCAAATCTCATCATGACTGCCTGGATCCTCTTCCTCTGTGGTCTGGCAAGACTGCATTGCCAGGGGGAAGTGATCAAAGAGCAAGCAACTGAGTTCATGTCAGAGGCAACCCCTGCTCCACTTACTTGGGAATCCACATGGAGACTGAGCTGCCTATAAGCTCATCTGAGCAAGGAGTCTAGGTCTTCTATATGCATGGTCCTTGGTTGGTGCATCAGTCTCTGCAGGACCTCCCCACCACCCCCGGGCTCAGATTTGTTGGCTTTGTTGGACTCCTTGTGGAACCTGGAACTCAATCTTAAGACCAGGCTAGCCTTGAACTCACAAAGATCCATCTGCCTCTGCCTCCCAGAACACTAATAATTTTTTTTTTAATAAAACATTTTTTAAAGGCCACTACGACAACTGAATTAACATTGCTAAGCACAAAGTTTATTTTGTTCTTTGTAGAAAAACAAACAAAAAAACAGATGACTGCCCTTAGTAATGTGCTCAGTCTACAGAGAACTAAGATGGCTTTTACTTTTCTCTGTATAATATTAATGTAGCTTTTCTGAATCTTTCCATTACATAGTACAAAAATCATGTTCTGCAGTAGTTCCAGATTATTTTGGTGTAGCCCAGGAAAAGGTTAAACTGGAGTTGTAGTGTATATCTACATGCTCATATGCTCCTTTGTGCCTGTTGAAGCTAATTCCTGATGTTTCCAGGTCTCATGGCTACAAAGTATAGAAATGTTGGCATTTAAAATGCTGACAACTTTCTTACGTGGGTTTATGTTTGTTTTTCAGGTTTTCTCTTACACTGCCAACAAAGAAATTAGAACAGATGACCTTTGTTTGGATGTCTCCAAACTTAATGGCCCGGTTACCATGCTCAAATGCCACCACCTAAAAGGCAACCAGCTCTGGGAGTATGACCCAGTGGTGAGTTACCCAATTGCCTATAGGAATAAAGCTTCAGCACATCACTGGCACATTTGTATTCTGTAGCTAGTGTGTTAATAGTAACTAGTATAGTTAATACAGCCATTGGCTGTGGTCCAGATGTTTTCTTCTTGTTTTTGAATGTGTGCTGTTGACATTATGGGTGTAACTGTTCCTCTCCTTGAAGGATGTACAGTATCTATTTCCTTACAGTAGGTGCCAATGGCACAGTTATTGTGACAACCAACAGATTTTTAAGTGAAGAAGCTCCTTATTTTCAATTTGTTGGAATAAAACAGTGTATTAATCAGGCAGTATTGAACTTATTTACAAGCCAGGAGATGGAGGTGCATACCTTTGTACCCAGCACTTGGGAGGCAGAGGCAGGAGGATCTCTGTAAGTTCAAGGCCATCCTGGTCTACAAAGCAAGTCCAGGACAGCCAGAGCTTGATACACAGAGAAACCCTGTCTCAAAAAACAAAACAAACAAACAAAAACTATGTGTGTGTGTATACACACAGACATATATACACACACACAAACCTACTTATAGTAGCTTCATTGAGTAAGTGATTTTTTTTTTAACATAAGTCTTTAGGAAAGTGGTTTCTGGTTTGAATTGGGTTCACTCTAAGAACTGTAATCTCTGCTCCACAAGAAAGGATGATGGCTTTTACTATCAAATATGTTACTCTTTTTCAGGAAGTTTTTCCTGGAATGCTCTTAACCACCTGTTGTAATTTCTTCGGAGGTGTAGATTTGTCACAATGAATCTACAGCTGTAAGGAGGACAGGGAAAGCAGGCACTTGGTTTTTTTTTCTTTACAGTGTGAGATGGCCAAGACACAAAGACTGAGAATGGCGTTGACTAGTCAGTGTGCAGCCTGCTGCAGTATTTGTTTGAAATGTGAATGTTCAGTTAGAAATGTAAGGGGCTTCAAGTATTTTAAAAAAACTGGTTGTACATGTGAAGTTTTAGAACTTTCAGGTCACTTTGCGAAGTTTGTTTCTCTGGAATGAAACTAATAATGTCTTGCTAGTTTCTCACTGAAGCAGATTCCCAAGATAAAGGTGACTGCTGAGATGTTTCCTAGGGAGCGTTTCTGAATCACTAACTGTAAAAAGGAAAGGGGAGGGAGGACAAGCTACCTTGTGAGCCCAGTAGCCTCAGCAAACTCCAGAGAGGGAGATCTGGAAGGAGCAGCCCATCAGAATTGTCCTGCTTCTATCCATCAGAATGTTAACAACCAGAAAGAGAGTAGGCATTTGTGTCAGTAATCCCCAATAGAAGCCTCAAATCAAGAAATTTTAAATTGAAAAAAAAAAAGTCCTAAAAATCAAATGTAGGCTACTGTTTTCATGTATAGAAGTTAATTGCCTCTGGTCACACAATGAGTAGATGGTTTAAATTAGAGCTCAGACCTGAGATTCTTAATCCAAGACTCTTTGTTTAGTACCCTACTGTTTTTAATTCAATTTGCATTTTTGTGCATGTTTAAATCTTGTCTCTATTATGTATTGTGTAAAATTTATAGTATGACAGTAATTCTTGCCTTTACTGCTTGTGCTGACTCTTCTGGAATACAGTGTAGGTGGAGACCCGTTTATATTTAGAGACTGGAGGCAGGAGGTAGATGAATATTTTTCTGTGTGGTAGGTAGCCTTTGCAATAAGTAATGAAAGCATTTACCCTTCCCCTTCAAGCATTCCTGTTAGAAATGTGTCACTTCCCTGCCCAATGCCTGAATCATGTTCTCTCTGGATGCTTTCCAGGATTACAGAAGTTGTTCTCTGAGGAGGCCTGTGATGACCAAAAATGTACAGTGTTGGAGCCCTAAAGCTCTGCACCTTCTGTCAGCTGCCAGAGCCTTGTCTAAAGCAAGGTTCTTCACCAGTATTTAGTCTCCTGGTGTCTTAACCTCCCCTGATAGCCATTCAGTCTGAATGTTGAGCGCTTGAGTACTCAGCATGGAGCATTTAAAAATGCTAGAAATCCAAATGTGGTGGCTCATGCTTAGAATCCCAGCACCATGGAGGCCTGCTGCATAGCAAGTTCTTGTCTCAAAAACAAAAAAAAACAAGCAAAAAAAAAAAAAAAAAAAAAGCAGGGCCTGTCTCTGACATGAACTCAGTGGCTGGCTCTTTGACCACCCCACCCCACCCCGAAGGAGGAGCAGCCTTGGTAGGCCACAGAGGAAGATATAGCAGCCAGTCCTGATGAGACCTGATAAACTAGGGTCAGATGGAAGGGGAGGAGGACCTCCCTCCCCTATCAGTGGACTTACAGAGGGGCAAGGAGGAGTTGAAAGAGGGAGGGTTAGATTGGGAGGGATTGAGGGAGAGGGCCATGGCTGGGATACAAAGTAAATAAACTGTTACTAATATAAAAAAAATAAAAATTTAAAAAAAGAATCTAAGTAAATGAAATGTGTGTTTTTAGAAATTGTAATGGAAAAAATCAACTGCCCAATCATAGGTTTTGTGGTGCTTGATTTTCTTCTGCTTTTAGTAATACCGACCACAAGCCTAAGGAAGGATAGCACCTTTGTAGGCCATTGTGGAATGTTGGATAGGTCCTTAATTGTGCACTGGTTTTTGTCTCTGCTGAAACTGAAGCCTGTAGAGCCTGGCTGTCTGACTACTACTGTGTCACTGCAAAGCCCATCATCCTCAGCCAGTAAGCCACACCCACCTGCATGAGAAAAGCACCACAGCTATACTCACTCTCTTCGAGGTTCAGTTCCCTTGCATCTGTGAGAATTAAAGTAGATGATACTGAACCTCAGGTCAGTGTGATGGTAGCATCTACAGTGTATGGTTATTTGCTGGTTCTTATTGTGACATACTAGAGAGTAATACAGAACTAGAAGTAAAAATAAGTGGATGCAATCATTAGTTTCTGTTATATTTTCAGAACTGTTTTAAAAAGGCCACGTAATGGTGGCAGCTGGATCTCTGTGTGTTTGAGGCTAGCCTAGTATACAAAGTGAGTTCTAGGACAACCAGGGCTACACAGAGAAATCCTGTGGGGGCAGGAGGCAGTTAAAAGAGTCATCATGAAAATGAAATGTTTCAGGAGCTGGAGAGTTGGCTTAGTGGTTAAGAGCACTGGCTGCTCTTACAGAAGACCTAAGTTCAATTCCCATCTCCCACATAGTGGTTCATTTCTAAGGGATCTGATGTCTTCTTCTGACTTCCAAAGGCACCAGGCACATACATAATATACAGACATACGTACAAGCAAAACACTCATACATATAACATAAAAAAAGAGAAAAATTGAAGTGAGATCTTACAGATTAAAGAATCACATTAAAATCAAGAGGTAAGTAAACAATCAGATGAGTGAGTGTTCATTAACATTGCAGTTACTTGACCTGTTAGGACACCACTCAGCACGCACCCTGCACCAGTACACTGGCGGTCTTTGCTCTAGAGCATATTATCAGATTCATTGTGGATCGTTATCACTGAGCTAATCTTTAGAAATCACTCCAAAAATCAGCACAAAAGTTAACAAATCTAAAATGTAAACATGGAGGTAGATAGCTGTATCTTTCCCTGATTATGCAGTTGAGGCAACACATAATTTAACTCTGTTGTTCCTGCCTTACAGAACCTTCTCAACATATGGGTTTTATTGTGATTTTTAGCTTAAAAGTGAGAAAGTCCAAGTTGCTTAGGCTTGGAACCCAATCTAGTACCTGTGCTTTTTGTGTGCCACAATACATCCCTCTATCAGAAGGATAACTTCTGGACTTTATATCTAAGTTTATGATTGACTGCACTGTGCCTCAGCTATTCCAGCATTGTTATATTTTGAGTCTGTAGAAGGACCCAAGTTTCTAAAAGCTTAAGGTTTAGTTAGACTCATAGAATTAAACAGCTTTATCATAGAGAAATGAAAAAAATGATGGAAATAGTTGTTTTGAAGTGCGATGGAGGAAACTAGATTAGTAGGTTCACTAACCTGGCCTGGAATTTTCTTTTTACTTTAAGGAAACTAAAGTGGACATGGGGGCATGGGAAGTAGCAGTGGCAGTGGCAGTGACACACAACTTTAATCCTAACACTTGGGAGGCAGTGGCAGGTGGTTTTCTGGGAGTTCAAGGCCAGCCTGGTCTATGTAGCAAGTTCTAGGTTAGCCAGGACTAAGAAGTGCAATGCTATCTCCACAAAAGAGAGGCCGGGACCTGTTGGGGTACTGCTTTTTCTCAACTTTCTAGTTATGCTGTGTGTTTTCCCTGCTACTTTCAGAAATTAACCCTGCAGCATGTGAATAGTAATCAGTGCCTGGATAAAGCCACGGAAGAGGACAGCCAGGTGCCCAGCATTAGAGACTGCACTGGAAGCCGGTCCCAGCAGTGGCTCCTTCGAAATGTCACCCTTCCAGAAATATTCTGAGACCAAATTACAACAACAAAAAAGAAAGAAGGTTTGACTGGGCTACCTCAGCATACATTTCTGCCACATTCTTAACTAGCAAAAAAGGAAAAGTGTTTCTCTCTTCTGTGGGATATAAGGTTTATCAGCCATTAAAACTCAGACTCCTCTAGCTTTTTACTTGCTGTGAGCCAGCCTTCCTGTCCCAGGACATGAGACTGCAAAGTAGTGAGACTGTGCACACTGATGTTTACAAGACTGGAAGTCTTCATCAAGAACAGTGGCGAATAGCCTTCAGATCCCAAAACAGGCACAGGAGTGCTCTCTGGATAGATGTACCTTCCACAGCTTGTGTGCACATCAGCCATTTCTGCTGAATGTGTTCATGAAGAAGAGATCTCCTGATTAAAATCAGTATCCGGAATATTAAATACTGATAGAAAATTAAGTGGAAAAGAACTGAAACCAGGTTCAGAATCATGAAAACATTTTTACAACAATAAAAATTATGTCAAACAGGGTTTAAAGGAAATTAAAACAGAATTATGAGAAGTACAATTTGTTATAGTATAGTATCAGATTTCTATATAGATTTTATACCTCAGTGGGGAAAAACTGTTTCCAGTGACATTCGTTTTATTTTCACCTGTGATAGTCAAATGCTTCTATTTTCCATGGGGTGCTGAAAATGAGATGGCAGGTGGGGTGGAGCTCTCTGGACATAGTTTGAATTTCTTTTTACAATATTTTTTATTTGTTTTGTGGTCTGTTGGAATTGTAAGTTTTAATTGCCTTCTTTTAAAAAAAAAAGTGAAGATTTAATATGCCTGGTCTCAGTTGGAAAGTTAGAGGTATCTCAGTTGTCCTTGGGCCATCTGGCTTAAAGACTCTGTCTCACCCCGCCCTCCCACCCCCACACAGTTTCTTACCATGTTTTCAACTTAACTCAGTTGATCTGATTATATTTAATACCCAGGACTCATGCTACTGTATTACAGATTTGTTTTTACAGCAATAACTTCTCAGATCCCTGTGAGTCACTTAACAAAAGACTTACAAAGAGTGGTTGTTTATTTGGATATTTGGAGGTCATATATTTGTGGGTTATTTTGAAAATCGTTTCCACTCTACACATAGCTGTGCTTCACTGTCAGGTGCACATTTAGGTTAGTCCTGAGTTGTGATGTTGATTTGCTGCTTTTTTTTTAAAAAAAAAATAAAAATGAGTGAAAATGTTTAATTGGCATTTTTTTAATGAATTAGCCAAAGAAGTGCAGCTATGATTCCATGTTCCAGTCCTACATTTCCTCCCTAAATTCGATTATGTTAATTGATTTTCTTTACTCTGGTTTTTAGTAACAGAATCATGTATTAAAAGTTGCTGTTAATTAACGTTTACTTTTTTATCTCACATTTTTCCAAAGCAATCCACTGGCCAAAATGCATACTCTCTGCTTCCCATGTCAGGTTATATTTAATGGTATTCTTTTCTTTGATTATCAAAAGACTCACTGCAGGAAGTGCTATTTCTCACACTTAAGAGTATTCCTGGAAGTCACATTACCAGTGACATCTGCCCATTATATACACATCATTTCTCATCATTCATCCAAGCAGCATCAAACATATGGATGCTTGGGGTAAGGTTGTCTTCCAGATGCATACACTCCCCATGAAATCTGAAAGCAGGTGTTGGCTGGAATACTTTTTCTCCTCTGTGAGATACGTTAATTCTATCTCTAGTGGGTGCAATGTTTGAACAGTCAGATGTCTAATAAATTATTTTCATGCTCAGAATTTCAGATTTTTGTACCCTAACATAGCATGGGCTTACTCCTTATTGTAAAAGTTTAACAGCATTGTGATTTAAAATTTTGTCTCACTTTTTAAGTGGGGGGATGTGAGTGACATAATTCATTGGTACTTTTAGAACCTATTAGATAATCTCATTGCCTTTATTTTTATAATTAAAATATTCCTAAATACTTTGAAAATATAAAGTATTCCTGAGTAGTTGTGCCTTACATTGGTTTTACTTGAAGGTAAAATGGATCCTTTCATCATAGCTTTTTGTGGATTAGGCAGATATTCATCTCTGTTAGAACCAAATTGAGAAGAAAAGGAATAAAAAAGAAATTGAAGGATGAGATTGGGCTTATTTTGGCCAGTGAAGTATCAGAAGTGTGACAAATAAAGGTGTGTGGTTTTTTGGTTTTTGGGTTTTTTTTTTTTTTTTTTTTTTTTTTTGGTTTGTTTTTTTTTTTTTTTTTTTAAGACAGGGCCTTATTCTATATCCCAGACTAGCTTCAGATTCACAGCAGTCCTCCTGCCTCAAGCCTCCATCCAAGTACTGTGATTTAAAGGTATGAACCACCAAGACTGGTCAAGACAATTTGAATCTCACAGATCTTTTCATTACATCAGTTATAGTCTGTTTGAATGTTTCTCAGTCCTGTTGGTATCTTGATAAGTGCTGTTTTTGTTCGCCCTCCTACCACGTCCTCACTTGACTTGTTCTTTTAGCTGGAAAATAGGTCCTTTGTAAGGACTTGGTGCTCCCTTCATCTTCCAAGAAGTACACCAAAGTGCGTTGACTCCACAGCTAACATATTCTTTACAAAAGAAATTTAGGAGGCAGTGTTTCTAGAGTGCTGGCTACAGCAGTTGTACAGAAGAAAAGTGCTTTCTTCTTTTTAGAAGTTAAATCTATTTGCAAGTGCTTAGCATGTCTTCTGCTCTCTGATTTCTTGAGTATTAGAGAATATTTGGCTTGGCAAATTGGTAAGAACTGTTTTGTTTTGTTTTGTTTTGTTTTTTTCAGAGTACGAGGCAGATATGCAGGGCTCAGCAGTATGTGTATGCATGAAAGTAGTTCTCAGTTTCAGATATGTACTTACAGTACCACTAAAGAGGTCAGATGTCTAGGATGAAAGGTACATACCTCGACCTTGGAAACTACAGAAAAGTGCTAGAGAACAACACAGTGAACGGACCTTAGTCATTCAAAGCTTTCCATAATGCTAAGATGCTAGTGTCCCACAAACTGGTCTGTAGATTCTTCGATTAAAAATCTCAAGGCTTTTTTTGTGGGGATTGCTCTGTGTGTGTCTGTCTTTGGAATGCAGTAAATGGAGAATAGCTAAGATAATGTTGAAGAAGAAAAATAAAATTGGAAGGCCTTTCATTTCTCATCAAGATTTGCTTTAAAACTTCTGAAGCACAAGAGTAGTAGTAGAGTAGGAGAAACAGACAGATTATAAAAATAGCTCACATATATATGTGTGTGTGTTTAGCAAAAACTGCAAGCAGTTAATTAGGAAGTTAAGTTTTCCTATTGGAACTGAGCTAGTGGTATTCTGTTTGGCTTTGTTGTTTTGCTTTTTTGCTTGTGTTGAGATAGGATCTCACTCTGTATCTCTGGCTGTCCTAGAACTCATTCTGGAGTTTTTAAGGGCTTTGATAAAAGGCGTGCGCTGCCACTCACTTCTGGCTGGGGAGAAGCTTTGTGTTTTGTTTGTGAACGGCTAGCCCCGAGGGAATGAAGGTGACTGCCCTTGTGCCTAAATGAAGGCATAGCCTCATACGCTCCGACCTCTTCCATTCCCAAGCCCTTCTATCTGACAGTCTTGTTGCCCCTAGACTTCCTGGGGTCTGTAATTAGTGTCTTTGCAGTGATGACCCTTGCTTGACACACGTCTAAATCTAACTTTCCACCGCTCAGGATTCTCAGCAATGATTTGGCTTCTTACTACTTAGCGAACTATAAGATCAAATCAGAAACCTAGCCACAGAAATTCCGTTGGTTAACACTTCCCAAATTGATCTACAGATTCAGTGCAGTCCCTATTAAAATACCCAAGTGGCACTTTTATGTTTTTTGCAGAAATTGACAAGCAAATCCCAAAATTGTTATGGAAAAATCAGGACCAGAGTAAATTAAAGGGTAAAGATTAACTGACTAGACAGTCCAGAAAACCTCCTATAGTATAATCAGTTGATTTTTTTTTTTAAGAGTTCCAAGAAAATTTAATGGAATCATGTTTTTATGATTTCCATTTTGTAGACAACTAAACCAGAAGTAATTCCCCCTATATCATACCATTTATATATATATATATATATATATATATATATATATATATATATATATATATATAATTTAAGAACTAAATATATGGAAGTCTTTTGAGACAGGACCTGAGGAAGCTAAGGCTGGCCATGAATTTGTTCTGTAGCAGAGGATGTCATGTGACCTTGAACATCTGATCCTCCTGCCTTCATTCCTAAATGCTGGAGTTGACAGGTATGCACCATCATGCCTGGTTTATGCAGTAACTAGGATTGAATTTAGAACATGTTGCATGGAGGGTGGGAGAGGTGGCTCAGTGGTCAAGGGCACTCACTGTTCTTTCGAAGGTCCTAAGTTCAAGTCCACCCACATGGCAGCTCACACTGTGACACTGCCTTCTGGTGTGCGCGTGTGCAAAGTACCTGTATACATAAAATATACATAAAATCATAAGTCTTAGAGCTTAATGTGTGGAAGGCAAGAACTATACCAACTAGTCTATATCTTAACCCTATAAAAAATTTAAAAACAATTAGGCAGTAGTTTTCTTGATAGGAAACTAAAAGCACCAAGAGCTGTGGTGGTTTTTTGTTTTGTTTCTATGAAAAGATAAATTGAACTCTATAAAAGCATAAAAGTTGTGCTTAAAGGACACCCTCAGGGGTAGAGCCCTGGTGTATGTGAGGCCCTGAGTCAGTGCCTGGTCCACAGGGGAAAGGGGTGCAAAGGGCACCACTTCACAGAATGCCACAGGACACCAGGTGACAGTTATCTGGTAAGGAGGAGCTTGAATCTGAAATACAAGAACATCCGGAATTCAGGGAGATAGAACGCTTCTTTTGGGTGGGTAAAAATTTTTAATTGAAAAAAAAAAATAATTGGCTTTCCCAAAGAAGATATTAACTGTCAAGGGATGATGTAAGAAGATAATCCAGGCTGGTGATCTGGCTCGGAGAGTACGGATACTGGATATTCTTCCAGAGGACTCAGATTTGATTTCCAGCACCCATATAGTGGCTCAAAACAACCATAGCTTGAGTTCTTGGGGATCCAACACACTCTTCTGGCTTCCTCAAACACCACACACATACATATGGGCAAAACACCCGTACATATAAAATAAATTTTTAAATGAAAGTAGGTTTTGAAGATACTTTACATCATTAGTAGCCAATGTTAAAAATACAGTACCATGGGTTCAAAAAAGTAGGCGCTGGAAAGATCGTCAGTGGTGAAGAACACTTACTGCTCTTTGGGATAACCACATGGCAGAACACAACTGTCTATAATTCTGGTTCCAATGCCATATCCTGGTGTCTGAGTCCTTCATACTAACCCAACTTCAGACACTGGACTTTTACTACAATACCACACAGGTAATGGAAAAAGATGTCAGTAAATGCAGAAGTGCGTATAAACTGGATGATACAATAGTAAAGTCTAATGTTGTTTCTGTAGATCTCAAAGAGTTCCTGTGGATAGAGGGGCTGTCTTAGCAGAGCACTTGCTGTTCATCCAGAGGACCCAACTTCAGTTTTCAGCATCCATGTCAGACAGCTCACAACTACCATAACTTCAGTTCCAAGGGTTCCTATGTCCTCTTTGGTCTCCGTGAGCACCTGCACATACAGGGCATCTACACACATAAAAAATAAATAAAAACAAGTTAAAACAATCTTTTAAAAATATTTCTTATAAATTATCCTATAATTTATGTGGAAAGGAAAAGAAATAGCTAAAAGTTGTTTTTTTTTTTTTTTTAACATAGAAGTGTCAAGAGAATTGGCTCAGTGGCAGTGAGCATTGGCTGCTTTTCAGGAGGACACAGGTTCAATTCCCAGCACTCAACATGGTAGCTCACAACTGTCTAACTTTAGGTCCAGGAGATCTGATGCCCTCTCCGGGCCACTGCAAGCACCAGGTGGCATGTATATGTTGCAAAGACATACCCATGTACATAAAAATATGAAAACACTGTCTCATTTTGAGACTTATCATAGTGGGGGGGGGAAGGACCTTTATTCTGCATCGTAAGTATATGTTTAAAGTTCTAAATGTAGGGCCTAAAATTGTAAAAGGCGTTCAAGAATGAACAGGGAACACTTTGTATGACTTTGGAGTTGGTAATGATTATAAGATAGGACAGCAACAATGTGGACAGCAAGTACATTTCCTGTGATTTAGCCAGGAAAACCTAAAATTAGCTTAACTTAAAAAAAAATGAAACCTGAATTAACAAGGATGCATTGGAATCTCAGAAAGCCTACAACTAAGTTGAGCAGTAAACTTCCTCTCCAGCAGGTGACAAGTTCCACTGTTCTGTATGTCA